TTTCAGTTTATAATATAAGTATAATGTTAAACTAAACCATAAACTGAATCTTTATCTGATGGAAAATATGTCAACCAGAAAAAAAAAAAAAAATTATGATTTTTCTAATCACCAGAAAATGAAGATTAGAAAAACAAAATAAACAAGTTTAAATATGTAGTATAAGCAATGGCAACTGTTATCCATAAACATCAATCTTTCAAGTAGATTTAATTTTATATATAATTTCATGTCATTTAAATATTGAAGAAAAACTATATAAAATTATTTAAATTAAATATTCTTCATTTTCAGAGTGGTGCATGGTTCAATAAATAAACTGTTAAAATCTATGATTATTTGTTGCGGCTCCATTTCCACTATTGGTAGAAACAAGCTTAAAATCCCAGCTAATAATGGTTATTCAAGAAAACTGACCACCATCAAAAATTGTGAAATCATCAACGAGGACCATCACCAAAAAATACATGCACTCTGCCGCATGAGATAAAATTTACCGACATTTTTCAGAAATTTTCCAATAATATATTCTATCTTCTGGTTCAGTGAGAAAAGCAGAAACAGCACCACAAAAGCAAATTGACTAAAGAGAACATAAAAACATTTAAATAAGAGTTATCTCCCTTTGACATGGACAGCAGAATAAGAACAAATTAAATAAAGCATTTGGTTCAACATTCTGAAAATGTTAACAAATATAAAAGTAGGCCAGAAAGTACAGAAGATAAAATGACTGACAACCAACATTAGGAAAAGAGTTTGTATGAATCAGTATTAAAAAAAAAAACAGAAACACAAAATGATGCTGAAAAGTTCTCAGTCCATCCCAATTGCAAAAATTAAAATTTTAATGACCAAACATTGAAGAAGGATAATAGGATGAGCCAATAACATTTCAACAACAATTATATATTGATTAAACCAACCCCTTAATCTTCACTGTGTGCCATGTGACAGGCAATTCTATATTTTACACAAAGTTACTGTCCATCTCTTAAAAAAGAAATACAAACAAACCTGACTTCTACAATTTTCTACACATCTAATAAACACAGATTCTTTCAATGTACTTTTCTCCAGATATATATTCTGAAATACCAAACTTGGTACTTGAATGCCTTTCTTACATTCCTCAATTCTGATGTTCATTAAGGGGCTGGTAGGTTTGTTTTTATTTATATATATATAGTTAAATTCCCAGACCAATTCTGTGAAGACAGATTGGTATAAAATGACAATTGGATTTAGATTTTGCCGACGCGTTTCATCTTCTGACTTTTTGCCTTGAAACAGTCGGACGACGAATCGCGTCGGCAAAATCTAAGATTTTTTCCAATTCTCATTTTATATATATATATATATATATATATATATATACACACATTAATATGCAATGTTGCAAATACAAATTCTGGTTATTATTTGATTGTCACATTCCTTTCCTACACTTGCCAAAGTTGTTTTAATTTGAGTAGAACTTTGTATAAATTCAATACATATTGAAGTCTACAGCAAAGACATACACGCACCCGTATCTACGGCAAAGGCATACAAATGCCAGTATCTACGGCAAAAGCATACACATGTAATAATAAATTAAGAAACAAAGATCAATTTATAAATTTATAAAAACATTATTTGTTTATACTTCATGCATTTGCATATTCCCAGCAGATGTCTGGTAGTCATCATTTACAAGAACAAATCTCAACAGCTTTCTCAGTATCTTCATTCCCCAGCAGTGTCATTGTACAATTTCAAGCCTTATCAAGATTTTTAACGCAGTAAATCTTGCTTCTAGTGCTTTTGGTATAGTTCCAAGTGTGCCTACTATTATGAGTATGACTAACCTTTCATATTCATTGACAGCTCTCAAGTGAGGTCCTGATATTTTTCAAGTTTCTCACTCTGTTAACACAGCTACATTGAGAATCTGACAGCTTCTTTTTTTCTCAACACAAAATAATTAAAGTTGGTCTTCTTGCTTCAATGAGGTGGTCAGTCTGAAATTCGGAAGCATTTTCAGATTTGTTATCCAGGACATTCTCTGAATTGTGCCGATAATATTTTTTCAAACCAAAGTCACTTGCACATTTATCAGTTTATGACTGTTCCCTCCTTGTGCTTTTTCGTTTTTTTCTTCTGGACTGTAAAGATGAAGGATTCTATATCTAGTGACTCTCATTCAACAGTTAAGTTCACATTCCAGTGTTTCATCCAGATAGCAATCGCTTTCATCACTGATTCATCTATCTTGAATATTCTATGGCTTTCCAATCTTATTATTGGGGATGGCTTTACAATCTTATTATTGGGGATGTGTTGCAGTTCAGTGTGTTCTTCCCACGTTCCGGTAGACACCGGTAATTACACTGCTCATTCTAGCGGTAGGTTTGAAGCTAGCGTCCATCTCCCAGACAAAAATAAACAAAGTTGTAACTTAATACGAACCTCTATAGCAGTGCACGTCACCACAGTCCCAGTTGCACTGCCAGCCAATGTCCCAAACCGTTTTTATTGACCAAAACACGGCCAACACACCAATCATCACCATTAGCCTCGTTCTCAATCAAAGTCCCCAGCTCGAACAAACAGTATGCAGACCGCCACTAGACAAATCGTGCCAAGCAGCATAAAATCAACAAATGTCGGAGAATGTACTTTTCTCAGACCACACTTGTGAGAAGAAAGTATGCAGTTGACAAAATGACAAACTGTCTAGCTTGGGTTTATGCATATATCCATCATAAAACAGCAGACGGACAAGCAAAACACATTGGACGCTTCGACTCCGGTAAGTGCGAATATTTATCGTAACAGGATGGCTTTCCAATCTCATTATTAGGGATGGCTTTCCAATCTCATTATTAGGGATGGCTTTGTAATCTCATTATTAGGGATGGCTTTCCAATCTTATTATTAGGGATGGCTTTCCAATCTTATTATTAGGAATGGCTTTCCAATCTTATTATTAGGGATGGCTTTCCAATCTTATTATTAGGGATGGCTTTTCCAATCTTATTATTAGGGAATCAATCTTATTCCAATCTTATTATTAGGGATGGCTTTCCAATCTTATTATTAGGGATGGCTTTCTAATCTTATTATTAGGGATGGCTTTCTAATCTTATTATTAGGGATGGCTTTCTAATCTTATTATTAGGGATGGCTTTCCAATCTTATTATTAGGGATGGCTTTCCAATCTTATTATTAGAGATGGCTTTCCAATCTTATTATTAGGAATGGCTTTGTAATCTTATTATTAGGGATGGCTTTCCAATCATATTATTAGGGATGGCTTTCCAATCTTATTATTAGGGATGGCTTTCCAATCTTATTATTAGGGATAGCTTTCCAATCTTATTATTAGGGATGGCTTTCCAATCTTATTATTAGAGATGGCTTTCCAATCTTATTATTAGGAATGGCTTTGTAATCTTATTATTAGGGATGGCTTTGTAATCTTATTATTAGGGATGGCTTTGTAATCTTATTATTAGGGATGGCTTTCCAATCTTATTATTAGGGATGGCTTTCCAATCTTATTATTAGGGATGGCTTTCTAATCTTATTATTAGGGATGGCTTTCCGATCTTATTAGGGATGGCTTTCTAATCTTATTATTAGAGATGGCTTCCCAATCTTATTATTAGGAATGGCTTTGTAATCTTATTATTAGGGATGGCTTTGTAATCTTATTATTAGGGATGGCTTTCCAATCTTATTATTAGGGATGGCTTTCCAATCTTATTATTAGGGATGGCTTTCCAATCTTATTAGGAATGGCTTTGTAATCTTATTATTAGGGATGGCTTTGTAATCTTATTATTAGGGATGGCTTTCCAATCTTATTATTAGGGATGGCTTTCCAATCTTATTAGGAATGGCTTTGTAATATTATTATTAGGGATGGCTTTGTAATCTTATTATTAGGGATGGCTTTCCAATCTTATTATTAGGGATGGCTTTCCAATCTTATTATTAGGGATGGCTTTCCAATCTTATTATTAGGGATGGCTTTCCAATCTTATTATTAGGGATGGCTTTCCAATCTTATTATTAGGGATGGCTTTCCAATCTTATTATTAGGGATGGCTTTGTAATCTTATTATTAGGGATGGCTTTGTAATCTTATTATTAGGGATGGCTTTCCAATCTTATTATTAGGGATGGCTTTCTAATCTTATTATTAGGGATGGCTTTCTAATCTTATTATTAGGGATGGCTTTCCGATCTTATTTTCCAAGCTGATTTCTTGTTTCTGCTGGGGAAAGTTCATTGTATTACAAGCAATTTCATCACCATTTTTGCCCCAGTCTATATGAGTTTGCTTACCTCTTTATATCTTTAGTTTCCATGTTTATCTAAACAATCCATTGAATACTTCAGTCACTGCTCTTATGTGGGTGCTAAAAGTTTCATTTGTTTTTTTCCTACATAAACCTATTTTTTGTACTTGTTTTCCACCCCAGCAAACCTTTCCATTAGAGTGGCTATTGCTAGATCTTTTGTCTGATTAATTACTTATATAATTTATAATCTATATTTTCTTTGATTCTTATGTCATTCTTTCTAGAATTATTATTATTCAGTCATTAATATGAAAACAAAAAAAGTCTAAAGTGAATTTAATTTTCTTACTCATTCTGTAAGTAATGCTGACCTTAATTTATAATTTTTTAAGCTTTTCTATAATAAAACCATTAGCAATATACTTAAATTATACATAAAATAACCCTATTTTGCAAATAATACTAGTTTTAATGCTTGACCACTGACCTTTCAATGCCTTATAATTGTAATGTCCAAATTTGCAAAAATAAATTTTAAGCCAAAAACTATAAACTAAGGTCGAAGCAAATTATTGATTTTCACTTCTGATAGAAAATATTTTTTTTTTGACAAAAAATGAATAAAACAAATTGGCAGAGTAGTAATAAAGTCAGTGGGCAATGATCTCACTTGAAAAAGGAATCGAGAAAGAATTCCAAAGACTTACATTAATGAGGACGATGTCTGCAGCTTCAACAGCTACATCAGTTCCAGAACCGATTGCAATGCCAACGTCTGCCTGGGCAAGTGCAGGTGAGTCATTTACGCCATCACCAATCATAGCAACTTTCACATTTGACTTTTGCAATTGTTTTATTTTCTTTACTTTGTGAGAAGGCAGCACTTCAGCAAAAACAGTTGTGATACCAGTCTGGAAAAGAAAAAAAGGGAAATGTAGAGAACATATGTACGTGTGAGAGAGAGAAAAGGGACAGAGAAAGAGAAACACTTGCAATGAGAGAGAGAAAGAAAGAGAGATAAGGAAGGAGAAAGGAAACAGGCACAACAGAAAACATATACATATATATTTCTGTAGAGCAAGGTTCTACATTCAGTACCATCCCTTGATAAGACACCTGAAGTGTTGAAGCAAAATGGCTATTTTTGTAGTGATGTTATAACATGTTTATGTTATAATTTTTTAATAAATAATATTTGCTCTAATCTGCATCTTTTAATAATAGTATTTTTGGTTATTGGAATTTGTTCCATCTAAAATATATATATATATATATATATATATATATATATAGAGAGAGAGAGAGAGAGGGAGAGGGAGAGAGAGAGTGCAAGTGAAACAGAAACAGAGAAATGCATGTAGGATGAGAGAGAGGGGAACATACACAAGGAGAAATGCATAGAGAGAAGAAGGAAACATGGAGAAAGAAAAGAAACAACACATGGAGAGAGAAACATACACATGGGGAAATGAATAGAGAGAGAAACATACAGGGGGGGGAAACAAGGGGAAATGAATAGAGAGAGACAAAGGGAAATGAATGGAGAGGAAATAGAGAAGAAGGTAAAAGACAGTGAGAAATGCATGGAGAAAGAAAAAGAAACATACACAAAGGGAAATGAATAGAGAGAGAAACATACACATGGGGAAATGAATAGAGAGAGAAACATACACAAGGGGAAATGAATAGAGAGAGAAACATACACAAGGGGAAATGAATAGAGAGAGAAACATACACAAGGGGAAATGAATAGAGAGAGAAACATACACAAGGGGAAATGAATAGAGAGAGAAACATACACAAAGGGAAATGAATAGAGAGAAAATACACATGGGGGAAATGAAAGAGAGAGAAACATACACATACATAAGGGGGGGAAATGAATAGAGAGAGAAACATACACAAGGGGGGGAAATGAATGAAGAGAGAGAAACATACACAAGGGGAAATGAATAGAGAGAGAAACATATGGGGAATGGGGAGAAATGGGGAAATGAATAGAGAGAGAAACAAGGGGAAATGAAAGAGAGAGAGAGAAACATGGGGGGAAATGAAAGAGGGAAATGAAATGAATAGAGAGAAACATACACAAAGGGAAATGAATAGAGAGAGAAACATACACAAATGGGAAAATGAATGGGGGGAAATGAATAGAGAGAAACATACACAAAGGGAAATGAATAGAGAGAGAAACATACACAAGGGGAAATGAATAGAGAGAGAAACATACACAAGGGGAAATGAAAGAGGGAAAATGATGGGGGGAAAGAGAGAAAGATACACAAGGGGAAATGAAAGAGAGAGAACACAAGGGGAAAGAGAGAGAGAAACATACACAAGGGGAAATGAATAGAGAGAGAAACATACACAAGGGGAAATGAAAATGAAGAGAGAGAAACATACACAAGGGGAAATGAATAGAGAGAGAAACATACACAAGGGGAAATGAATAGAGAGAGAAACATACACAAAGGGAAATGAATAGAGAGAGAAACATACACAAAGGGAAATGAATAGAGAGAGAAACATACACAAGGGGAAATGAATAGAGAGAGAAACATACACAAGGGGAAATGAATAGAGAGAAAACATACAAAGGGAAATGAATAGAGAGAGAAACATACACAGAGAGGGGAAATGAATAGAAAGAGAGAAACATACACATAGGGGAAATGAATAGAGAGAGAAACATACACAAGGGGAAATGAATAGAGAGAGAAACATACACAAGGGGAAAAGGGGAATGAATAGAGAGAGAAACATACACAAGGGAAAATGAATAGGGGAAATGAATAGAGAGAGAAACATACACAAAGGGAAATGAATAGAGAGAGAAACATACACAAAGGGAAATGAATAGAGAGAGAAACATACACAAAGGGAAATGAATAGAGAGAGAAACATACACAAAGGGAAATGAATAGAGAGAGAAACATACAAGGGGAAATGAATAGAGAGAGAAAAATAGGAAACACACAAGGGGAAAAAAGAGAGACACATACAAGGGGAAATGAATAGAGAGGAAACATACACAAAGGGAAATGAAAGAGAGAGACATACAAAGGGAAATGAATAGAGAGAGAAACATACACAAAGGGAAATGAACAGGAAAGAGAGAGACATACACAAGGGGAAATGAATAGAGAGAGAAACATACACAAGGGGAAATGAATAGAAAGGGAAACACAGGAAAGAGAGAGACATACACAAAGGGAAATGAATAGAGAGAGAAACATACACAAGTGGAAATGAAAGGGAAACACAAAGGGAAAGAATAAGAGAGAGAGGGAAATGAATAAGAGGAAAAACAAAGGAAAGAGAGACACATACGCAAAGGGAAACAAAAGGAAACACACAGGAAAGAGAGAGACACACGCAAAGGGAAACACAGGAAAAGAGGAAACAAAGGGAAAACACAGGAAAGAGAGACACATACGCAAAGGGAAACACACAAAAGAGAGACACATACGCAAAGGGAAACACACAAAAGAGAGACACATACGCAAAGGGAAACACACAAAAGAGAGACACATAGACAAAGGGAAACACACAAAAGAGAGACACATACACAAAGGGAAACATATGAAAGAGAGGGAGAATCAAAAGAAAACTTTTTTTACAAAAAGAATATTTTAAAATAAATTTACTTACTGTATTATTAACTGTAATGAGAATTAATTTCATCAGAGAATTTTTAAAGATTTTTCATAAATTTGTGAAGTTATGTATAACCATTATTTCATAAATTATTTCGACATATCACTTTTTTTAACCCTTATGTTTAAGCAAGTTAATTGTGGACTCTCAGATTCCAGAAAGGTCTCTGCTACTTGAAATGAAAAGTCGGGAAATCTTTTTTTTAAATTATAGCACCTGAGTAAAGCTGGAGAATCAACTGATCAAAATTATAATGATACACACTTGAATTGTTCATCAAATAATAGAAAAAAATGTTTTTTTTTTATCTATTTTATCAATCAACACAAATTTATAACTTTGTATATATTCTTCTTAATGGCCAGTGTATTTGCATATTTTCAATGGCACCAGGAATTATAATTGAAATTCTGGATTTTTTTCTTTTCTTCTTTTTAATCATTTCACCCCAAGCAAGGCAATAAGGCCACTAAGATGCAAGGAGTTACTGAATGTGAAATAATATGAGAAAAAGAAAAACATTATTAAGAACAAGAATTAAGAAGACAGACGATGACAACTGATATTGCATTTAAATTTTTGAAGATCAAAGTTGACTAAAAAGCAAGAAGCCAGAAGAGAGAAGTGTGAGAGAAGAAACTGTTAGCATATAATTTACGGTTACATCTAGCAATTTCAACTGTAAAATAATGAGACCTAACTACCAATCAAGTACTGTAAATACTTTCTAGGCAGGTAGACACACACCTACTTTAAAGACTGGTGCATTAGAATTTTCTTCCTCTCACCTTCCCTCCAAGTTTTTTTTTTTTCCTAAAACATGGCTGCTTTGAAGAAATATCTATATTTGAGGGTTATTTTAATCTCTTGTAGAGAAATGAAACTTTAAAATAAACAAAATTTAAACAAACAGTAATCATCCCTGAATATTTGCAGGGGATTGATTCCAAGATCACCCCCTACAAATACCAAAATCCAAGGATGCTGAAGTTCCTCATATAAAATGGTCTCACATATCCTTCTGCACACTTAAGTAATCTCTGAATTACTAATGATACCTAATAATAGAATATAAATGCTATATAAGTAGTTATAGGTATAAACATGGAATTTCAGCAGAAAAGTGATACCTTAACAAAAAGAAAATGATGTATAAGTAAATTTTATCAAAATCTTCCAGCAATGAATAAGACTGGACAAACTTCTGATGTAAGAAAAATATAGAATTGAAGACATATATGAAAAGTGATAGTGTAAAAAGCTGTTTACCTGTAAATCCATGATTGAAAAAACTTTTAGATTGGAAAATGCTTCAATTTTAAAACAACCAAAAATTAACTATTGGATTTTTAATAAAATTTCTAATAATTATTTAATAATTAATTTGTTTTAAATAAAAAGATTCAATTTGAAAGAAACAAAAATAAAAGCAGCAAAATTAAATGCAAACTGTTATTGTTATTTATATATTTTAAATTAATTTTAATTCAACATTATTTCTTTTTACTAGAAACATTATTTTAATAGGTACACAGGTTTGACTTGTTGCCACCGTTTTCTTATTTTCTTAAACTGTGTAATTAGATTGAGAAGTCTGACTCGGTACTTTTTTTTTTTTTAGTGGAAATTCTCAATCAAATCAGTTGTTAATAATTTCACTGTTTAAAATAAATAAATTAATAAATAAAGTTTACTAAATCTGAGAAATGAATTAGCTATTTTTGCAGTAAGTGCCATAAATATTACTTAAATAATATTTAAATATAAAAGTTTAAAAATCGTAATATACATATACTTTGATATGGAAAAATAATTTTACTTACTATAAGTAATTTCAAATACATTTCCTTCTGTTATAAAGTTATATAGTCTATTAAAACTAACAATGAAAATATTTTAAAGTTGTAATTAAAATTGTAGTTAAATAAAATGATTTCTAACCTAAACTTTTTACTTAGTACTACACGCACTTAAAAGAATCCAATAAAACACCTATAGTAAAATAAAATTAATATGAAATGCCAGATGTAAGCTTTTGAATGACCCATGTCCTTTCTACTTACATGAGAAACAATATATTACTAGGTTTATATATATATAAAAATAAAAGTTTACTAAATCAGTGAAATTAAGTAACTATTTTTGACATCAATGTCATAAATTTTACTTAAATAATATAAAAAAAAAAAATGTAACCTAATATACATACTTATACTTGATGTAAAAATAATCCTACATACTATAGGGGATTCTAATACATTTAACAGTTCTTAAAAAAAAAAAAAAAATATAGTATAATAAAAATTACAAATGAGAATATTTTAAATCGTAGTTAAATAAAAAGTATTCTGATCTGAACACCCGCGAAAATCTTTAAATTTACAAATAGAAAAAATGCCATAAGAATTTTTTTGCCGTTAACAATAAATTTAAAAAATATCCAGACGACATGCATTCAATGGATGTCAGTTTTCATTGAAAAATACATCCCTACCCCTTACCAAAATGTAGCTAATAACCGATACAATGATGCAGACATAAGGAAAACCCAGACACCCCTTGTCCAGTTGAAGTAGATTTATCTGTAACCATGGAAACGTGATTTTAGCTGTGTCTTTAAACCCAGTAATTTTAAAAGTTACTCCAAATTTCTTGGGCTTTTGAGGATGAAATGGAACTAATGTCTTTAATTTAATTGCAAAATTAAATTTGTGGCTTTTAGCTTCCATTTTTGAAACATGGTTAGAACTGTGTAGCGGAAAAACCATATTTTAAATCAATTAAAAAATATATATATATATATATATATATATATATATATATATATAGAGAGAGAGAGAGAGAGGAGGCATGGTGGAATAAATTGAGGAATCAGAGAGCCAAGTTCTAATTCCAGTCTAATCCATTACATTCACTTACATGCTAATACCCTTGGGAAAGGTATGAATCCTCTTCTTCTCCCCCCAGTCAGCTATGGGTAAATAGCAAGAGAGACTGGGTTCTATAGCCTTGGATGGCAACTGGTCTAAGAGAAGGACAACTCTGAATTCAAAACCTATGGAGGGTTGTTTGGGGACCTGGTGGCATGTAGTGCACCAGGTCTCTGTATTCGTCCCTTCAAAAAGTGTAGTTGGTTCTTTACAAAACCTTCACCACTATAACCAAATCATATGCGCTTGTGTCTGGCTGTTGGTTCCTAGGAACTGAGTTGCTTGACCCTCATATGTCAAAAAAAATGACAGTAGAGTTCAGCATATATATATATGTAAAACAAATGAATCATCTGAAAGACCCTTTCTTCCTTCCATCAATTATGGCTGATGCTAACCTCCAGGGGAGTAACTCATTGTATCTTCTCAGCTGACATGACATAGAAAGACTATACAGAATCCACTGTTAGGTCAGCTGTTAAGAAACTTTGTTAATGTGTCATGCTAGACAATTTTTCTTTCCAGAATCTATCTTACATATCTGTAAGTCTACCATTCATCCATGCTTTGAATATTACAGCCAAATGAACTGGTGCTCCTGCTATATATTTATTGATCCTTGATAAAATTCAAAAAAGAATCAGCAATATTATTGGTCCTGATAAGACACCAGAAGTGTTAAAACAAAATGGCTATTTTTGTAGTGATTTTATAACATTTTTAGGTTATAATTTTTGAATAAATAATTATATTTGCTCTACTCTCTTTTGAGCACTCTTAAAATAGAGAGTAGAGCAAATATAATTATATTTGTTGGTTATTGGAATTTATTCTGTACACCAATCCTATACTTGTGTATATATATATATATATATATATATATATATTTACTACCTAATAGAAAAATTGAATTCATAACCGATACTTTTACCTGCTTGTTTATTATTGCTAGACATACCTGTCACACCTGCTGATTAGAAATGGTTCAGCATATGGAACTTCATAAAAGCTCATGATATTTCTCTAAAGTCAGTATACTCCTAATTGCCTGGTGAATTCATGTCAGTATACATTAAAACAAGTAATGTTAAAAAAAAAAAAACAAATATTGGAGAGTGACTAATAATCTGTGAAATGACAAGAAGTGATAGCAAAGCTGATGTCAGCAGATCTCTTCATTTACATGGATTCAACATTGCAGTCAGCATAGAGGAAATTTAAGTTTTACTTTTCACAATTTTTCCACAAAATTTTTTCCAGCAATGTTTAAACTTTATGCCTGCAAAGAATAGTGTGTCAAAAGAATGACACTGCTATTAATATTTACACTGTTGACTCCCTCGGCAATGTTTATTTAAAAGATTATAAAAATATGTGAACCAAGTATAATGTGATATTCATTATTTACCTTTTATAAAGAAATAAATTTGAAAAGAAATTTTCAAAAATTTATCAAAAATTGCAAAATTTTCAAAATATGTAAACCATCTACAATGCAATATTTATTATTTATCATTTTATAAATGACTATAAAAACAAGTTCTTTTTAATCATAATTGTGTGAGAATTAGTCAGAAGCATACAAAAACTATATACAAGTCCAATACATCCAATAGGCAATTCCCCAATTACCTACGTTCATCAAGCTCAAGTATGCAACTCCTTGTCAGAAACAAGCCTCCTCTTGAATGAAGGTACTGTGCTTTTATGCACCTGACTCAGCCATCACTCAGCCAATGAGTGCCCAGAACCAGCCAATAAAAATAGCTACAAACAACACCATCACTCTCGCCCACATGATGTGCTGCCCAATTCATATTCAGTACAAAGCTCGCCAATTTGCTGTCTCCACACTCCATTGCAAAACCCCTTTTGGGTCACTGAAGTAAGTCTCCACTACAATAATTTTATAAAAAATATCAATAAGCAAGAAAATTTGAATAAATATGATTTTCCAAACATAAAATTATTCTTGTAAATAAGAAATCTAATAGTGTTTAACGTCTTTTTTGTCAAATTCTCAAGAATAAAGAAAATGTTTAAATCCATTTTAATATGTTTGGGTTTTGTTAAGATAATAAAATTGCAGAGAGAATCAGAAGTGTATGCAATAATAGTGGTGTCAAGGGAATAACCGTCCTTTTGACATGCTGTTTTTTTTGCAGACATGAAAGTTAAACATTACCGTTTTTTTTTCAATGCAAGGTTCATTGAGGCCGTGAATGCTAAGACCAGGGAATAGAAAGAGCCAACCAGAATAGTCATTTGAAATAGCTTTCTCATTATTCATAAACAGATAAACACAACCTATGAACACTAATGGTAACAGTATTAGTATAACTTATTTTCCATTCTACAACAACTTTCCCCATAGATACTATTTCCATGGCAAATGTTTAGATGAACTCTATTCTTTAGTCCCACCTTAGTCAGGCCTTGACAGCTATGATATGCAATGCTATGTCCACAGAATTGAATCACCCACATTTCATCTTTATTCCATTTGCAAGGAAGAAGTTCCACTTCATTCCATTTGCAAGGAAGAAGTTCCACTTCATTCCATTTGCAAGGAAGAAGTTCCACTTCATTCCATTTGCAAGGAAGAAGTTCCACTTCATTCCATTTGCAAGGAAGAAGTTCCACTTCATTCCATTTGCAAGGAAGAAGTTCCACTTCATTCCATTTGCAAGGAAGAAGTTGAGGCAGCTTCCTCCTCATCTCTGTATGGATGCTTCCCTGAACCCTAGTCTTAACTTCAAGTCAAGTGTCACTCATTATCTGTCCTCCTTATCCTCATAATCTTCATTTCCTTCTTATATTCATCACACATCTCATCACACAGCCAACATGGTGTAATGGTTAGCAAGCTTGTCTCGCTAGATTAATTACAACAGAATAGTGAGTTCGATCCTCACTGGGTGTCCCATGCTTTCAGCCTTGTCCCACATCTAAGCCACACTTAGAAAACCAGCATTTCATCTCATTCTGTAACCCTCTACCATGAGTGTCTCATGTGACTTGTATTGGGTGAACATTAGTATTAAAAAAAAAAAAAAAGTATGCAAATCTCAAAAGCCATTAGAAAATGAGCGAACATACTTGCTCAGCAATAGCCCTGGCTGTTTTCTGATTATCCCCAGTAAGTAAGGTAACTTGCAGTCCCATCTCTTTGAGTGTGCTGATGGCCAAATGAGCCTCAGATTTTACTGTGTCTGCTACAGCCAGCATGGCAACCAAGACACCTGAAATTACAAAGACAAAAAAATATTACAGGTATTTTTGAGAGGCATACTAAGGTGGTAAAAGCAATGATTCTTGTGAAATATTTTGTCTGTCATATTTCAGAAGAATCATTGCTTTTATCACCTTCATTCATCTACAAATTATCACGAATAATTCTCAAAGGAAATTTCTCAAATCTTCACAGTTGTCACCAAGTGGTAAGCATTATCAAATTATTTAAAAAAAAAAAAAAAATTATTTAAAAAAGATTTCAACTTAAATAGTTTTTCTTGATATTAGTTTCCTTACATGATAAAAAGCTGAATTTCAATAGTGTTCCTTCTGCTTACTTGACAAAGATCCTTCTGTAACTCTAATTTAACATTTAGACCATATTCATACTTTAAATTTGGTGAAAAGCATAATTGGGGTTATTTAAAGCCAGTAATAATAATTTTTTGTTTTAAATACTTCTTTAGGTTCAGTTTCAACGACATGCTTTTGTAGGTTCCAATCCAATAGTGGAAATGACTGGAAAGCACTTTCCCTTTCCCAATTTATAGGCAGAAGCACACATGTTTGCTAGGATTTCTTCCTAGTAAATAAAACAGGCCAGTTCTTGGTTTTATATGACTCGGTCCCAGTCTGTCTTCTCTTGAAGTCAGAACGTTACATTTGCTTATTCGAACATTCTCGTGTGTCAAACCCTAACTCTTAGTTTGTGAACTTTTTGCCATATTACTTTTGCTTTGCCTCATTAATGTTAATTTACCTTGCATATATTGTTTGCTTGCTTTATATTATTTTTTGGTCTGTTCTTTTCTCTTTCTTGTTATTATTTATTGCAAACTTTGTTAATTTTGTTTGTTGGATAGTTCTATCATTTATCTCACATTTAACCATGAACACTCACACTACCCCTTTCTGTAACTTACGAGGCTGGCATCCCGCTCTCACCCCTTCACTGTCGAAACTCCTAAATGTAGCCGTCTCTTCTACTCTAATAGCTTCGTGTCTCGCACCTCTCACCTGTGGAACTCCCTTCCCTATTCCTGTTTCCCTGTGAGCTATAATCTCCAGCTGTTCAAGTGTAATGTCAATCAACATCTCCAGTTGCCTTGATCTATCCACTACCCTCATCCTTTCTTCTATCACTCCTATCTGATCTTGCTCTAAACTTTCTGTAACCCCTTGCGTCCTAGTGGCTTCCCGACTTGCTTGGGGTGAAATGCTTAAAAAAAAAAAAAAAAAAAAAAAAAAAATATAACCCTGACTTTCATTCTTCAGATTTGGTGGGAAATACACAAATACAAAAGGGACTTACCATCAATAGCACATAAAACAGCAGTATGTCCTTGTTCTTCGTGTTCTTCCATAGATTGGTTGACATGATCTGTAACTTCAAGACCATTCCTCATCATCCATTCCCGATTACCAATCAAAACATCATAACTTTGCGTTGCCGAAGCACCAAGTACAGACATATCTGCAAAGAAAAGAATCAGTAAAGAAAAAGTTGTCAAAGAAAATAATTTTTCTTTTTTTTTTTTGAGACAGAGTGTTGCACACATTGTGTTAGTTTCGTATACACATCATATTTGGGACAGAGTGTTGCACACATTGTGTTAGTTTCGTATACACGTCATATTTGGGACAGAGTGTTGCACACATTGTGTTAGTTTCGTATGCACGTCATATTTGGGACAGAGTGTTGCACACATTGTGTTAGTTTCGTATACACATATTTGGGACAGAGTGTTGCACACATTGTGTTAGTTTCGTATACACATATTTGGGACAGAGTGTTGCACACATTGTGTTAGTTTCGTATACACATATTTGGGACAGAGTGTTGCACACATTGTGTTAGTTTCGTATACACATCATATTTGGGACAGAGTGTTGCACACATTGTGTTAGTTTATTCGAACCATTTTACTAAGGATCTTGCACTTTTCAAAATCAGAATACTCATCAGCTGCCAACTCAAATTTTCCTTAATTTCAGCCACAGCCTGAAATATTTCAGTGATTTTAGCTTTGGGAAAATTAAAAGCTTTACCTAAAGGAAGTTAAATCTGGATTGGGGGTCGATATTGATAAACCCAGTTAAAGTGATGTTTAAAAAAATTAAAAAAAAAAATCTCCATATAACATTTGTTCCAGTATACAAAACTACATAATTCTAATTATCAGTTTTATTTAACGCATCAATCTGAGTGTTCAATAAAATTGGCACTTATCATTTCAAGTTTCCTTGTATTAGTTGTAATTGCAAGCATGCGTCCCAGTATAAATAATTATGGACTGATTTTATCATTGTGATATTTTTGCATTATATCAAGTATTAAGAATATAGTAACTAGGGTCTGCAAATTGAAGGAGAGTGTTATCAATGATAATGTTCTGTCTTCGAATCTGTGGTTATCTCCGTTTAACCCTGTTTCTGTTTTTTTTAGTTTTAAATGTACTTTTTATCACATGAAATTTGGTGAGGCACAAGCAAATTTTAATTCTGAAAATGCAGCCCAGAGAAAAAAAAGTTTGGGAACCACTGCCTTAGCTTAAAGAAGAGGCAGACAGGGGAAAAACGTGCTAACGTCATCACTGAGTGGACTGGAAGATCATTCACAGAGACTCAGACATTGGCATGCAACTGTGACATATGTAGGAAGATGATCAAGTGCTCAGTTATGGAGTGACCCTATAACCACACCCATTCATGGTATCGATGATGATGATGATGATATCAGTTTAGTAAAAAAAAAAAAATAAATAAATAAATAAAAATAAAAAACTGACCTTCAATGATGGGTGCATTGCTTCTAATGCTACCAGCCATGTTATCAACGCGTACCTTCAAACTGCCAAATACATTCTTACGGTTTCGTACTCCTTCAATATCGATGTTGGACAACAAAGATTCCACTTGAGAGACTTTGCAATGAAGACCACAACCTGGAACTGCCTGGAAGTTGGTAACTTGGCCCAAAAGATCTTTTTTCAATGTCTGTATAACAAAAAGAAGGAAAACATACAAATGTCTGTTCATTACAGTAGCTCAAGTTACAAAGAACCAATTAACAACAAATTAAGCAGAGGTGGTTTCAACAAAAGTTTTTCCACTTTGTCATACTTCTTTACCCTATATATATAAAATAATAACAAAGTTAATGGTCAGAGTTGAATTAAACCAGAAAAAAGTAGTATTAAAAAGTGCTCAGTACACATATAAACAGATAAAAATGTATCATGTAGAGATTTTAAGTATAAAAAATTATGAGATCAGCTGATTCTGCTAACTTGGTTTCAACCTTTTGGTATCTTCAGGCAATTTCAGTCAATTGATTTACTAACGCTTTATTCTTTTTTTTAAATCTGCAATCTTTGTCAATAAGAAAAGTTAGCTATAATATCATTTCCAGACCAAAAAAAACATTTAAATGCCAGATCAGAAATTATGACCTGTTGTTTATATACTAAAAAGTTCCTTTTGAGTTCATATGAAGTGGGATGAAAAGAAAGTATGTATATTTCATCCCTCCCACTGATACATTTCCAATACACTTGTTTTCCTCCTCCTCACCACCTACCATGCGCTATTTATTTATTTTGAAATATTATAGCATTCATAAGTGTTAGGAAATCAATTGTCCAAAATCCCCTAAAGATACTGGAAGGTTGAAACCAAGGTAGTGGAAAATGATCCTAATATATATATATATATATATATATATATATATATATATATATATATATATATATATATATATATATAGGCAAAAAACAACAATATTGAATAAAACTAGATATAAAATAATATACTATTATTTTAATATAATTTAAGAATGAAATACATATTAACCTAAAGCACTGAGATAACAGTACCAATAGGATAAGAACTAGTGAAGGTGCACTGAAATAGAAAAAAAAAATGCCTTTCAGAAACTAAACAAAGTATTAAAAAATAGAAAATTTTCTTTAGGAACAAATGAGTGCTGAACTGCTTCAACATATCTATCCTCCTATATGGCAGTAAATATGAAATTCTCTATCAAAATAATTGAGAAAGATGGATGCTGAGAATTCCATGGACTGGACATATGAGAAATGGGGAAGCCTTACAGAAAATGGGAACTAAAAAGACACTTATACTTACAATCAGAAAGAGAATGTTGAAATTTATGGAATACATAAGGAAAGAGGGCCTAGAGAATTTAACACTCAGAGGACATACTGAAAGCAAGAGAAGCATGTAGAAACAGCCAGGATCCTACTTAAGTTTGAGTGAATGGATTACAAAAAGTCAAATGTTACTTAGAGTCACAAGTGAAAGGAAGTTGAAGAGAGTCATTATCACCCATGAATTTGTGTGAATGGATATCAGAGCAGATAACAGAGGGAAGGTAAAGAGTTAACTAAAAAGTTACTTAAAATTATGACAGGAAGTTGTGGAGAGCCATTATCTCCTATGAATTTGTATGAATGGATAACAGAGCAAAGACAAGGAGGAGTGGTAATGAGTCTAACATTGCTTAGAATTACAAATAACAGGAAGTTGTAGAGAGTCATGATTGCCTCTGAGTTTTTGTGAATGGATAGCATAGCAGAAACAAAGGGATGGTAAAGAATCAAATGCTGTTTACAGTTACAAATGACAGGAAGTTGTGGAGAGCCACAATTGCCCACATTCTGAAGAGATAGAATACAAAATAGAATAGTATTTATAAAAGTGTTCATATAGAGAGTAAAAGAGATGAAATAGAACCTCACCTGTTTGGCATAGTTTACAATGGCAGCAGCAATTGGATGCTCGCTACTGGTCTCTGCCGTTCCAGCAATGGCTATCAGTTTTGTAAATGAACACACATGGTTCTCGACAAATATCCTCACTCGAGAAACACGTGGTGTACCATGAGTGATTGTGCCTGTTTTGTCAAAGACAACATTTTTCACCTAAAAATTTAAAAAGAAAAAAACATTAATGTTTTTGTACAATATGGCTGCCTTGGTGAGAGGACATCAATTTTTGAAGACCATTTTGTGTCATTTATACGAAAAACATATTTTTAAAATTTTATATAACAAAGAAGAAAGTCCTTTTTTGATTTATACAAATGAAATTTTACATATTTCCTTTAAAATAGAATAATGATAATAATGCTATCTAGTCATATACATAAAATTATAGAATTTAACATATCTGATGGCGAACAGAATTCCTGCCAATAAAGTTCTGAATAATTCGCTAGAGCAATAATTATTGAACTTAAAGTTCAATAAAGACATCCAATAAGAACAGTGAACTTTATTATTTATGATTCAATAATATACAGGGTGTCCATAAAGTTCATGCGCACTTTAAAAAATTTATAACTTTATTTGTATTTCCGATAGAAATAATTTGTAAAAAGGATAAGAAAGAAGTAAATCTATATTTTTTAAGGTTTTATTGAAATTTTATTTAAAGTTTCCACATGTCCTCCATCATTAGCAATACAAAGGATAATACAATTTTGCAGTTCATGGAAAACATTTGCCAACTGATTTACAGTAATGCCTGAAAATCACATTAGTTATTTTAGCTATACTTAAAACTAGGTACATTAAACTTTATAACATTTTTTACAGATTATTTCTATCACAAATAAAGTTATAAATTATAATTTTTTTGAAGTGCACACGAACTTCAGGGAAACCCTGTATTTCCTTTACAACAAATATTTTGACTTTATCTGGCACAAGGTTAAACAGTGGGGTTGAGCCAATCATCAATATAGATCACTTTGAAAACCAACATTCAAAGTCCCTATTTTTTTTGGTATCTTGAACACTAACTTTAGACAAATATATATAACAACCTCAGCCACAAATTAAGCCCTTTTGCTATTTACTAAGTTTAGTTAAACAGTACTAAAAATTATTTTTTTTTGTGTTTTTACAATAATGATCACCCTGTACAAGGTAAAGGGTTACAGAGTAAGAGGCACAGTTTATGTGGATATATAGGAAAGATAACAGTTAACCCTAGACTTGAACAGATTAAGATTGTAGAGGTCAAGAAAACATCATCTTGGGAGTTGATTTCACAAAGCAGCAGTTTATGGGAAGAAATTATTTGAGTGCAACTCACATCTCACTAATGGAATGAGGGTGGTTCACTACAATGGTGGGTCTTAGCCATTTAGGTTAGAACTTGTGGAACTAAGGAACATAGTCTGTCTGAACATTTTTCATGGAAATAGCCATTGAGTATCAAGAGGCTTGCAACATTTTGTCGGTGTGAAAGAGTTATAGAATGGAAAATAATTCATCACCCACAAAGATATAGAGCTGCTTTTGGACAATTATAAGTGGAAAAGCGAAGACTGTGTAGCTTCTGGTCATATGGCAGCAGTACTAGCTGAGTTAATCCCTCAGTAAGAATTGAACTCTTTACACAAGCAAATGGTTTGTAAGATTAGCTCCATAATTACTGCTTTATGATAAATGCTTTAAGATTTATAAGAAGGAAAGGTGAAACTGCCTAAAAAATAAGCACTCGTAATCCTCATGTTGTATTTGATCTTCCATATAACTTTCTAAGCCTTAATACAAAGAGAATTTGTCTTATTGTTTAAAATCTAAATAAGGTAACATATGGAGCATATGTTGAAGAATGTCCACAAGAAACCTTCCAGAAAAGGCTGCAGACATTGACAAGCCCCACAAAGTATTAAAGATTGTTATAAATGTATTTCCAGAGTTCAAAAATATCTGTGAGGCAATATAAGACTTTAAAAATCAAGCATACATTGCATTTGGCTTGCTAACATTTACATACCAAGAATACTCAAGGCTTCCAGTGAAAAACAAACCAGGCCAATGATGATAATCCCAAATATATGTTGACAGAAAAATTGAAATAATGTCTGAAGATTACATTAACTTTTGAAAATTAAATGTATTTTATTAGGTTATTACATAAATTTGTTTGTATTTTATAATTTATTTTAATACTTACTATTTATTGATAGTTCTGATGAATCATTCAGCAATGTATTTCCTTTCATTGTTTATGACACCCTGCCAATGATCCACTAACTTTCAATGTCTCAACAATAGAAATCCCGAGGCTTTAACTCAAAAAATTCCTCAAGCCACATTTTAAGATCCATATTATCAACCAAACTCATTCTATGTATTAACAAGTAGCCTAGTGTCAACCGAGGCAATGGAGGAGTGCTGGAGTTTGTTTCTCTTGGTCAATGCTTATGACACCCTGCCAATGATCCACTAACTTACAATGTCTCGACGATAGAAATCCCTAGGTTTTAACTCAAAAAATTCCTCAATCCACATTTTAAGATCCACATAGTTGTTGAAAGAAAAGCTCTTCAAATTGTTAAAAAAGGGTGGTAGTCTGAAGAAGCTAAATCAAGAGAATATGGTGGATGTGGCAGAACATTAACAACGAGTAGCCTAGTGTCAAGCGAGTAAACTGGCAGCAATGGAGGAGTGCCGGAGTTTGTTTCTCTTGGTCAATGCCTGTGGCATCCATGCGCCATGTTTCTGAACTGTACCCATTAGGTGAAGATGACAAGCGACAATAACATGAGAGCTTACCATCTTCTGAACCAATTCCCTTGGGGTCTGGAGTGGTTTATAAAAATCCAACTCTGGCTTCACATAAGTGAACCATTTTATTCTTTTTGGTTATTACATAAATTTGTTCATTATTCATCATTTATTTTAATACTTATTATTTATTAGTAGATTTGATGACTAATTCAACAATGTATTCCCTTTCATTGTTTATGTCGTCCTGCTAATGATTCACTAATTGTTCAATGCCTCAACGATAAAAATCACAGTCTGCCCTATTATTTCAGTCATCCAAGTCCTCATTATTATTTTTGTTTGTCGTGAACAGAGGATAGATAATGGTCTGATGACTATCTTTACCAAACAAGGAATCACCATCCTTTATACTTTTATAAATTTCTTTAGAAAAAATAATATTTGCAGAAAACCATAGATTGGCACCAAGAATAGGGTTTGCTTTGTATGGGTTTGTACGAAAAGCAAGACCTTATACTAATGATTCCCAAAGTGGGGCATGGTAATATTTTGGTGGGACATATGTAGGATGTGCACTGTTCAGCTTACTATATCAACAGATGAAGGGGGCAATTCAAGAATGAGTTATTAACAGTGAATTCTTTTCTAGTGAGTCTAAATGAGAGTGTTAATGTCAATGTGTGTTAATACACACGATGCATATAGAGTATGCATACATAAAAATATTTTGTGTGTGTGTGTACATACATGTGTAATTGACATACATGTAAGAATTAAATAATAGAGGGTGGGGGTACCAGAATTTTAGAAATTCCAAAGTGGGGCATGATCCAAAATCATTTGGGGACCACTGCCTTATATCTTTATATACTTTATACCTATATATACTTGAACTCAAAAAATAAATAAATAAAATTCATCAAAGTTTTAAATTCTGCAAACCTAGATACATCCTTCAACAAAACTTTAAATTCTTCCTGATATTGATTTTTACTGACTTTTCTATATACAGAGTGTGCCATATATCTGAGAACACATCTCCTTCAACAGTCCAAAATAACTGATTTGTTTTTTATGGCTTATCAACCTTTTGCAGGTTATTTAAAGCCAGAATATATTTTTTTATATTGTAAGAATTTTTTTTGAAGATAATAATTTAGTGACCCAAGTCTTACTAATTAACCCATAGATGGGGGGGAGAAGAGTAGTGAATATAACAAACCTGACTAGAACTGGAACTCAGCTCTCTGACTAACAATTCCAAGTCATTATCCATTACCCCACCTACACAAGCTGTTACCCATCTAGGTATTGACCAAGCTTGAGGTTAACTTTGGTTATTGTATGAGAATTGGTATTTCAATGTGATATGGTCATAAGCATTCACCAGACCATAAAAAGAATACAACATAATGTAATCTTAATCAGCAGGTGTCAAATTCAAACATTCTTATTTCCCTTTCAGGTATACTGTGAACAATCTGAGAAATGAAAATAAAAAGCATGTAATGATTCTGGCAGCCACAAGAATTTCTGTCCAGGTCCTTCATGTTCAAGGCCAGGAAAAAAATTGGAAACCCTGAATCTCTATTAAGACTCAAGCTCACTCCAGACCTGAAGTAAAACTCATATATACAATCCATTGCTAAAGATACTGGAAAAATGGTTGGTTCTTTGTACTGCTCTAGAAAGTATCCAACTCATCATCCCATGCTTTATCCTTATAAGAATCAGATTAGACCAAAATTAGTTCATTTCTTGTACTGCTCCAGAAAGTATCCAACTCATCATCCCATGATCTTTACAAGAGTCAGATCAGTACAAAAATAGAACATTGCTTTCATAGATGTGACAGATTAGAAAAAAAAACTGTTATAAGTATTGTGTTTTTATTCTTTGGAATTAATGCCAGATATTATAGGTTAATGTGACTAAATTATTTCAGTTGTCTTTCTGATTGCATTTGATAGGAATGTCAAAGACTTTTACAAGGAAAAAAACAAAATAAATAAGGCCATATTTAAAAGTATGTCAATAAGAGACAAAAAAAAACAACAAAAAAAGACAAAGCTTTTTTTACATTAACAAGATTTCAATTTAAGTCAGCGAAACATCAAATTTCATCATTACTATTAGAAAAAGCATTTTGGAATTCAGCAAATTTTTTAAAACTTTAAATGTCATCAAAAGTTATAAAAATAAATCAAAATATAAAAAGAAAGAAAAATAACTTTATGCTAAACAGTTAAATTTGAACATTGATGTAGAGAATTATTTTAAATCGAATGGCTGTCTTATATTTTTTTTATAAAAGAATTTGTTCAAACCATGATAATATTTACCACCATATCAGTAAAGGAAACCACTTGTGGGGTGGGAGGTATGAAGGGAAGGTAGGTAAGTCACATTGAGGCTGGCCACTGGCTACAAAGCAGGAAAAATTCTTTCACCGTCTCCAAGATTGGATTGATACCCCAGGACCACAGAATGGCATTTCTGGTAAGCTGGCACCAAGAAACTCTACCAAGAGTCTTACCTGGGAAATATCTTCCAGAGGAATCCCACCTTTGATGAGAAGGCCTGTTGTAGCACCAACTCCCAAACCTACAACTATTGCAGTTGGTGTGGCCAATCCAAGACCACAGGGACAAGCTATTGTAAGTACCGTTATAGAATATTGGATGGCAGTTGTAAATATAACCCAGAAATGGGAGCTCACAGCACATGCCTGCAGATATAACAACAATATTAAAGAATTTGATCCAAAATTTGGAGGGGACCCCAAGTGTGAGATTTGATGCCTGCTATCATTATAACTTACCTATGATAAAAACACAATCATGTAATTCTGCTGCTATAAAGAGGTTGATGGCAAAAATAAACAATTTGATAAAAAGAAAGTTTTTAAAAAAAAAAAAAAACTGTTCAGCAAATATTTTTAAATAGTATCAAATTAATATTTTTAACAAAGAACCAGAGTGTAGTATCTGCCCAATATCCAACCAATTCAAATGGTTGTCAGTTAACTTTTGAAAAACTTAGAGTTTCATGCCTGCAAAATAACAGTGTCAAAAGGACAGTTTTTTCCTTCCCATTCCACAGCAAAGTCATTAAAGTTTTAAAGTCATGATTAGAATTATAATAAAACCTAAGCATGTTATGAGAGTGAATTTATACATTTTCTTTGTTCTTCAGAATTGATAACAAAAATAATAAACACTATTTATATATCTGCTCAAGAAATGTATCTTAACATAAACATTGACAACATATTATGAAATGGTCCGACAATTTTTTTAATATATTTTCGGTCTATACGTTTTTTTAATAGATACAATTTATTTAAGTAAATGCTCTGTTTTTTTTAATAAATTGATCTGATGTGCTATTCCACTCAGCTATAGAGAAGTATCTGGTTAGCAGAGTCCAAATAAATGTTTTTAAACAAGAAATCAATTGAGGGTCCTGTATAGTACACAGGTTCAATTCCTGTTGGAGATCGCATATTTTCTACAAAGTTAATTGAATATTCAGGCCAGTTAATGTAACTAATACCATTTATTCAAAAAACAGAGGATTTACTTAAATAAATTGTATCTATTAAAATAAAGACAGAAAATATTAAAAAAATTGTCAAACTTAATGCATTTCATATATATATATGTGTGTGTGTGTGTGTGTGTGTGTTAAAGATCAAATATGGATCAGAATCTGACAGGATGACAGAATAACAAACAAATAGGAAATGTACATCAATCTAACATGTTAGATTGATATACGTTTCCTATTTGTTCTTTATTTTATCATTCCGTCGGATTCAGATCTGCATTTGATCTTCAACTCGCACATATATATATATATGCAGCATATCTCCATTCAAGCATGTTTGGTTGAGTAATCTGGACATATTATGTCTATTTATTTTATCCTCTTGAATTCTCTTATCGATTTCTTAATGTTGATATTAAATTCATTTATTTTCATTTTCCCAAGTACCTTCAATCTCATCTGAGATCATCTTCAGGCATGAATTGCTAAGACAAAAAAAAATGAATGTAACTGTTGTGATTTTTTTTTTGCAATCTGTCATAATTGTTTTTAAAATTAACTGTTTTAGCTATATTGTCATTTCCAGGCTTTTGATCTAAGGGAGATAACTTAATCTATATGATTGTAATCTTTTGTACAAAACATTTTAAAAAACATTGCTATATTCATAACTAACGTTATTTAGTGTTGGTTGTTTGCTCCATATATAGCAGGCCTCGAGAATACATATGTACAGGGTGAACCAAAAGTAGGTGGGAAGTAGGTCGAATAGGGTTTGTCTTAGGGTTATATTATAACTATGGCATTTGTGTTATATTAAATTTTATAACTAAATTATTTAAATTTAATCTTTTTTCTTTTCAGATAGCTTAGAGAACCCATAATGGCAAATAATTTAAATACTGATGCAAGAAAATGGCTGTTAAAAGAATAATGAAAGTTTCAAAATGCTTAAACCATTAGAAGAAAATGGGTTGAAACATTTGGTATTCAAATTCTAAAGAGACAAACCATTTGCCGCATTTGTAACAAATTTGATGCCACTGGTTCAATTCTTAATGCCTCAAAAACGGATTGACCCAAAACAGTTTGCACAGAAGACCATAAATATAAATTATATAACAATGAACTTTCAAGATAAACTTGAATAAAGATAAAATGTAATAAACTTTTTCCTTAAAAATAGATTTTATGATTTTCCCCAAGTAAAAACCGTACAGAAATAGATCATAAATTTATATTCTATTGTAAAGGCCAATCTATTATGAACTACAAAATCTTACTTGGTTCAGTATTTTAAAACAGTTCATTTAAGCAGGGTGAACAGATACTACACCAACTGTAGGAAGCAGGCACAGATGCTATGCCTACCATAGGAAGCGGACACTGGCATTACCCCAACTATAGGAAGGGTGCACAAACACTACACCAACTGTAAGCAGAGTGTGCAGATACTACACTCTGATCATAGTAACAAACATACAGATCTCCTTAGTTCATACATAAATAATGGCAAGAAATATGCTTGTATGAAATAATATTTTTCTTTTAAACTCTAATTAAAGTTCCTTACATTAGAGTTGGACCCTCATCAAAATTTTTATAGCAGCAGAATTACAACAGAAAAAAAAAAAAAAAATTCCTGAAATAAAAAGAAAATTAAAATGCTTTCCATTCATTACAATCTTGAGTTGTCTCTGGCAGAATTCTTACCTTCCTTGTCATCTCCAAGGGAGATCCACCCTTGATGAGAATACCATTTGTAGCCCCAACACCAGTGCCCACCATCACAGCAGTGGGGGTAGCTAAGCCCAAAGCACAAGGGCATGCAATACTCAGTACAGTGATAGCGTACTGAAATGCATACTGGAATATTAATTCATGCTTTGTCAAATAGCCACCTTCCTGTAGATTAATGTAGACAAAAGAATTATTCGTGTTGTTTCAACCAAGCAACATATTTGTTTTTAAACATCAAGTTGTTAATAGAATTTAGCAAAAAAATATTTAATTTGTCCATTCATCATTATAGGAAAAAAAGGACTTTCAAATATATTAGGTTGGCTAAAAAGTCTCTCCGGTTTTTGTCGACATTAACATTCAAACACTCTAATAAAGTAACAAATTTCAGTCTGTCCTTTACTCATATGCGCTCATTAGATATTTGATACTTCAAAATAGTTTTATATGGATACAGAAGGCAATTATGGTGGAGACAAGTAGGAGAATAAATTTTCCACGTGGACAGAATCGCAGAATTGTTAGTCTTAAACAGAATCTGGGTTTTTAATGTAATTTTCAATAACAAATAAATAATTTGATTTTTTTTTCAGATTTTAAAAAAAATTTTTAAAACTTAATAACTGTCTCTCCGATTTTGTTAAACATTTTAATAAATATAACAACGTAGTTATTTCCTTAAAATTTGTTTTTACAAATCTTTGTAGTTATTTTCCTTATAAAACCCGAAAAATAAACAACAAATATTTACATAAAAAAAGAAAAGTGAATTGTTGATTTTCTGAGAATATGTTGGCTAGTCTATTTTTAAATATTTTATAACTTTTCTAAGAAACTGTATGTAGCAAACAAGGTCACAGCTCAGTCATGGCCACCGAGATCCATTGCTAAAGTGGAAATGGAAGACAGACATTAGTTGACGTCAAAATTGGAGGGGAGAGAGAGACGAAGACCAAACCAATAAGTTTAACAAATTCATTTCCTTTAAGTGCTATCATGTGCCTACCATACAATTTAGAAATAAAGAAAAACAATTCCCCAAAAATACCATTTTATAAAACAACTGGCTTGTCCAAGCTTACCGTCACCCAGCAATTCTCTCAGATTAATAATGGCATCATCTTCAGTTCTTCACAATTGTAAACAAATTTAAATTGAACAAAAAATCCTTTAATAACATTAACTGCCAATGATTATTTTTCATATTTTACTTATATTTTGTAATCTAAACCAGTTGCATGAATAATTAACAAATTGCCAAGATGACTGAATCAAGTCAATATAGTGAATCAGCCTCTAAAGTTAGGCCTGCTACCCTTAAAAAAAGAAAAAACCCCAGTATCTAAAATTTTTGCTAAAGCCAGAGTAGAGCAATTTCCTGTTATTTTGCAAATTCTGTCTCCATAGTGTTGACATTTATAGGGTTGACACAATCAAAGATCACATCAAATCAAAAACTCATTTGACAAAAAAGTCTACAAAAGAGTCAGCTCAACTGAAATAGAAGACAATCACAAGTTTGTTGAAGAGTAAAGAGGTATGAAATGATTTTGTCCTTGATTTTTTCAAAATGTGCACTTTGACATTCCCCTACATAAAATTGACAAAATGAGGCCATTCATATTAATTAAAACATTGTAAAGAAGGTAGTGCTATTCCAAGTGTCAATTGTGTTAGGCAACATCATCTACCAAAATCGTTTGCTTGTCATTTTGCTGCCCTGAAAGCCAAACTTACTAATCAATCAGGCAGCATCATAACAGACAAAACGTGTAACGAGCATGCGCGGAAATGTCCTTGAACTCCGTGTGTGTGTTGTCACCAGGCACACCTTGGAGTACCATAATGGACTCGACTGAGGACTACAAGAAGACGCGCGAGACGTTTGGCGTCTTTTCTTAGGCGACAAAAGCCGTTGCGGTCGGTCGTCCGTCGGCAGCAGTCTTGGGTGCCGTTTTGCTCGTTTGCTGTTGTAAAGTGTTCACTCAGAAGAGAAGGCATTCGTTTCAGGTTCGCAAGAAATTGTTTTGTTTTTTTTTCCCCCGTTTTCTTGCACAATATGATCACAGCATTCTGAATGTAATTGCAAACATTCATAGGGAGTCATTTTCATTGATGTTGTAATCTTGTGAGAACGCAATCATCAAACTGTGAGTCAGGTATGCATTTGAGCTGTAACTCATGTGGATATTGCATTTGAGGATATTATTGCCATTGTAATAGATTCTGCAGCCTATTGCAAAAAAGCTCATAAGGAAGCGTTATCAAATGTTTTAATTAACAGTTGCCATGTGTTGTGCTTAGCACATATTCTAAATCTTGTAGATGAAGTATTTTCACACTGTCCAGCATCTGATAATGTTGACAAGTAACATTATCAATTCAGCCTTTTTTAAAAAGCCAAGTCAGAAAAAGTGATACTTAAAATGGCTTCAAGGTTCCTTGCCTAAGGAACAAGTGAAAATACTCTCTGTACCAGTGGCAACAAGATGGAATTCCTGGTTTAATGTGGCCAAATATCATGTTTTTATATATAAACAAGAAGAGAGCCATACCCTTGCAGTAGATAGGATTCAAATAGAGGGAAAAAGAGACAAGGGAAAGCAATTCATGACATACATAGCGGGCTTAAACAAGTGACTGACGGACCAGGGCCTGCAGAAAGTAGCAAAGGGGCAAAACTTATCAAGAGCTACAAGGGATAGGGGGACGTGGAGAGCCGACGTCCTGAAGGGACACAGCAAATAAAAAGCAAAAAAGAATGGATTTCAAATTTCAAGAGGATGATATCAATTTGTTGAAGAAAGAAATAGTTAAACATAATTGACTTTTTTTCCTTCATATTCTTGTTGCTTTTTAAAACAAGTAACAGATCATTTAATTTTATAATTATATCACAGATCAAAATTATAGAATTCTTCAAGAGAACAAATTTCTTTGTAGTAAAGAAAAAAGCAGATCATCATTAAATATATCAACCTATTTGTGTCTTATCTTTTAATCAGAAGTCACTTTGGTGAAAACTTTAAAACTATCTTCAACAATTTCTTTTATTTGAAGAATCTATGCCATGAAAACATTTCAGATTACTTGAGCTACATTATTTTAAAACATAGTGCATTATCTGCACCATAGATATGTCCATCATTAGCAGGATTGTGCTTGGAACTAAGTTTGTTGAATCATACTGTGACTCCTTTTTATGTGCAGCATCCCTTCAGGATGTAGACAATTCACCGTATCCCTTGTAGCTCTCAATAAGTTCCGTACATCTACCATCTCCCCCAGAACACGTTCTGTCATCCACTTGCTTAAGCCCATGTCATACGTTGCTTTCCCTTGTCTCTCTTTCCCTGCATTCGACCTGTGAGTATTAGATTCTCCAGGTCCTCCTTTCTCATTAACTTATTTGTTTGTTTGTTTTGTGGCATATTAATCTCAATTGGTTATTTAATGCTGACAAGATTTTTATTGCCAGTAATATTTTCTTTTTTCAAAAATTTATTGTTGATACTAATTTTTTTTTTTAGAAATTATTTCTGGTATTAAAACCTATTTTTACACTTTCATAGTGTTTTGAGTCACAGTTGGGGGGGCAACTATTTGTCCATAACTGGGACCCTAACAGGTGCTACCACCCCGGGTCAGGATGGAACACCAGCAATTAAGAGGTGGTTCCATGCTCCTCAAAACCTCCTGGTCAGAGGCTTTGCTGTTGGACGCAGTTTATCGTCTTACCCAGGACGTGGATGAAGTTTAGTCATACCCAGGATGTTAACTTGTTTAAAAAACTGTGTGAACACATACTAGCCATTGATACCTGCATAGATTGTTATCATTCAGTCTATTAGAATAACAAAAATATCATTGTATCTATCACTATCAAATTTCACACCCAACTTATGTGATGACCTGATAAGATTGTATAGAGATTAAACTTATTTTGATAAGAGTCAAATGTAAATAAGTGAAAAAAATAAATTAGAAGAAAGAAAAGAAAAAATAATACAATACCTTAAAGTTTTTATCAATTAATGTGGGATCATGGTACCCAACAGCCAACCATGCTAACAATGTCAACGTTGAGACACCAACCACCATTGGCACAAAATATCCAGCTATTCTGTCAGCAAGTTGTTGTATGGGAGCCTACAATAAATTAATCACTTTCAATGAGTAAGAAACTATTCAATGAAGTGTAAATATTTTCAAGAAAACTTCATGTACTTGTACACATTAAAATATTTTCTAAATTTTGCCTCGCTAGGTACAAGGCCACAATAATTGAGCACCTAATCTAGAACTGAACTTACTAAAAGATTAATTTGCTATCATAAGAGGCACCTTCACACATATGTACAATTATGTATTGAGAATTATGTAAGCAAAACACAAAGTACTCAATATCAGTGATAGAGCTAACATATTCAGTTGTCTGATGATTGCAAAAGTGTGAAACCTAGTGTCACAAACTCATACCCATACAACTGAATATATATACTTATCCTGAAGATCCATTTGAGTGAAACCTAGGTAGGTTTGCCTGACTCCTTAGGATTTATTCTAGTATGTATATATATATATATATATATATATATATATATATTTGAATATTGTATATTAAGGCAGCAATCATTTTTTTTTTTTTTACATGTTTGTTTCACTGAATGTGATGGACAAGAAAAATTTTGTCTATATTTCTGTAATGAGGTATTGTAACTATTTACGTTACTTACATTGTTCAGATTATTGTCCTCATCTTTATTGCCATATTCACAATGTTTCAGTTGTTGTTGCTCCAGCCTTCTTCAGGAATTTTGAACCAAAACCTTTAGTTAGTCCACAGGGGCAGATTGTTCTAATTCCATGTGTCATGCCTTTTTTTGGATATCTCAGTTCCAGTTAATTTCCTTTAGTAACTCAAGAGACATTGCACATGGAATTAGAACAATCTACCTGCTGTAGAGCAATGTTAAGCAAACTGTTACTCAGATAACTCAGTCAATCCTCACTGGGCACTTTCACTATTTTGGTCATGTGCCATTCTCACCTAGACTGAATAAATAATTCTTCCAGATAGTCATTCTTGAATATATTAATCTACAGCATCTCTTTCTTACCTTAGATGTTTGTGCTTCCTCAACCAACTTAACAATTTGGGAGAGAGTCGTGTCAGTACCAACATGTGTAGCCTCAATAAGCAATAATCCATTTTGATTCAATGAACCTCCAATCACTGTTGTGCCTACAATCAATAAAAAAAAACATAGTAATCAACAGCATTGAAGAAAACAAGGAAGTCATCTTAAAACCCATCAAACAATGTTAAAACAATCAATAGCAAAAAAAAACATTTATATACTTAAAAAAATGATTCTGGTAAAAGCAACATAATGTTGTTTGTGGCTAAATACAGGTTTTAGCAATTATACTTAAACCTAGTCAAAGATTTACTCTGTAAACTTTATTTTCTTGTTAACAGTTTTTTTTTTTAATCATTTCATCTTAAGCAATGTGATAGTTTTTTGGGGGTTTTTTTAAGCCAAAACATATTTTGGATAGAATAATTTTTCTTTTTGTGAGTGAATATTGCATTAACACTTTTTTAAAAAAAAAACCAAAAAAACAATGATTTTTTCCAATACAAGTCTTACAATTTAACCCATAGCTGAGGGTAGAGATAGAATCATACCTTTCCCAAAGGTATTTGCATGTAAGTGAATGTAACGAACCTGGCTGGAATTTGAACTCAGCTCTCCAATTTCTCATTCCAAGCTGTTATCTATTACACCACCTGCACATCCAAGCCAGTAGGACACAAGGCATTACAGATAGTGAAAGGATAATAGAGTGAAGGAACCTGAGAAACATTGTTGATAAGAAAGGACAATAGAAAGACTAGGACTAAAAGAGAGAGATGATGACAATTGATGTTGCATTTAAGATTTTGAAGATTGTAGTTGACAGGATGGCAAAACACTGGAACAGAGTTCCATAGGTGAGAAGTGCAAAAAATTATACTATTATAGAACAGAATTAAGATACTATTATAGAATAGAATCTTACTCTGCTATTCCAACTGAATGATGATGATGATGACGATTGGCTTCAGGAATAGAAGGTTCACTTTTGAATGGGTGTTGAGTGAGTGTTCATGTAATATAAGCTTTAATAGTTTCTAGGTTCTCTTAATAGGATTAGTCAATGCATTACTTATATCACAGATATAAGTACCAAAATCTATCAAAATCGACCATTCAGTGAATATTGCTGTCATATGTGATCTGCCATGCATTTAGAGATTCTAGATAGAATACAAAGAAGAATCTGCAAAGTTATTGGTCCTGACCTGGCATCTTGGCTTCAGTCACTTTACTGCTTCTATAACATATCTACCCTGTACCATTTCTAAAATTATTTTCATGGTAATTGTTCTGATAAGTTTTTGCACAGAAAAAAAGATCTCAATATTTTTTTTTAATCCAAATGAAACTAATGCATGTTTGTGAAAGTGTTGAAGATTTTCCACCCTACAACCTCTTTCTCACAGACTAAATGTTGCAAGTCTCTCACTGCTCTATTGTTACTTCCATGGAAAGTGTTCAGACAAACTACATTCATTAGTTCTACCAGTTCTAACCATTCATGACTAAGACCGACCATGCTATGCACATTGTAACAAACCACCCTCAGTCTCTTCATATTCCATTGGTGACACCAAAGATCCACTCACACAGCTTCTTGCCACAAACCCCTGCTATGTGGAACTGACTCCCAAGAGGATGCTTCCCAATCACTACAATCTTAACATGTTCAAGTCTAAGGTTAACTCCAACATAGCTACATAAACTGTGCCTCTTGCTCTGTAACACTATTGGGCCTCATACAGGGTGATTATCATTGTAAAATATATTTTTAGAGTGAAGAACACTGAGAAGGGATAAGGAATAGAATGAGAAGATACAGTCAAAGGGTTGAGAGAAGAGAAAGGGACATGAAAAGGGACAAGAAATAGAATGAGAAGATACAGTCAAAGAAAGAGAGAAGAGAAAAGGACATGAGATAATGAATAATCTTGATTTCCAACACTTATGGTATTTCCACAAGTCCAGTTAGTTACCATGATAAGAACAATATTATTAATAAATGTGGTTACCTGGTTTTTTGGTAACTGGCATTGATTCCCCTGTAATCAAAGATTCATCACAAGATGACATGCCTTCAATCACTCGAGCATCTACTGGGACCTTTTCTCCAGGCAATACCTACAAGCAAAGTAAAACCTTTTAAACATATAGCATATACAAACACACCTTTATCCACATAAACCTGTCTGGTGACATGGACAAGATAACAAGCCATAAGTCTAGTGCTACAGACAAGAGAATTCTTCTCATAATTGTGTTTTATTCCCTTGGAAGATGCAGCATCTATATTATGTTGATGATATAACAACAGGTGAATGTTTGCCTTATATAGCAATCTACAGCTTAATATTTCATACATATTTCAATTATTTAAATATTTAACAAATTTATGTGTACATAATATTTTTTTTTTAAATAGCTTGTAGCTCATTTGTATATTTTATTTTTAGTTCATTATAAATATAAATTTTTTTTAAGTTGTTAACCCTCTGAGCCCTACGTTCATGAACAATTGTAACTCTTCTGCCTGAACTCCTGCGTCAAAATTCGCAAATAATTGGTATGTAATGTTTCACAGTAGATATAAAAATAGTTACAAGTGTTTACCAACCGTTCAACCAGTAGCTGAGCTTTAAGTCATTTTTCTCTACCACTAGTGGCTGGGCATTACATCATTTTTCTATGCCACCAGTAAAGCAGTGGTCAGGGTTTAAAGGCTTAATTCCCAGCATCTCATTTTATTTAATGGGTTAAAATTAGAAATCTATAATTAATAAGATTTTTTATTTTCATTTTTAAAACTGATACTGCATTTTTATTTTCATTTTTTAATCACATTTAATTATTTTCAATTAATAACATTACTTATCAAAGTAGAGATAAAATTGTTCTATATTTTAAATTATTATTGATAATCTTTAATTACACCTAATTTATAAAGTAAACATTATTACAGGTTTCTGAGTATCAAAAATATATAGAGCTTCATACTTTGTGCAGTTTCAGGCATCTCTTGCAGATTTGGGAACAAAACCCCTGCAGATAATAAGGGTTACTCTAATTTTAAAATGTATACTTTAATACATCCAATAAATATAAATTCACTGGCAATTGTTTTACATACAAACACAAAACAAATGAATTTTAATTTCTGAGGAGGAAAATAATGTTTTGCGAGAATAGACAAAATAAAATAAAAAAAAATTCTCTTTGACTTCAATTACCAATTTCTTTTATTTTGATATTTAACCAATCTAAGTTCCATCAAAATAAAATATGAACTTTATTTTCCATATTTTTTGTAATCTAAGATGCATTTCCATATAAGACGCATCCTTATTTTGCAGACAGTATGCAATGAAAGTTGAAATATCAATTAGGACATTAACAACATTAAATGAATTAAGCATTCTTATTGGTGATGTGCATTTCACATTTAAAATCTATATTATTGCTATAAAGAACACATACAAGAGAATTAAACCATTCCTATTTAAATACAGGGTGTGTCAGAAATACTTCCTACATAATGTTAAGACATTAGTGGCAATGGTGACTTCATCTAGATAATGTTTGTGGGAAGTATTTCTGCCTTACCCTCTGCGTGTGTATGTAATAAATATACATTTTTTTTTTATCAGCAGTAGCACAGTGTAATCATCAGGTGCTGATTGAAAACTGTTGCATAATTTAAATAATAATATATCATACTATAATGATAGTGGAGCAGTTCATTTTTTTTTGGTGGTTTTAAATATGTATATATATATATATATATATATATATATATATATATATATATATGAGTCCTATAGCCTTAGGTGACAAATGGTCTAGGAGAAGGACAACTCTGAATTCAAAACCTGCAGATGGTTGTTTGCAGACTTTGTGGCATACTGTGCACCTATTCTTTGCATTTGTCCTTTCCAAAAACTGTTCTTGTTGTTGGCTCTACACAAGCCTTCATTGTGATACTCAAATGATATCTGTGAGGAGTTTGGCTGTTAGTTCTAAGAACTGAGCTGCTTGATACTCACACACTGAAAATGATGGTTAGTTCAGTGTATATATATATATATATATATATATATATATATATATATATATATATATATATATATATATATATTGTATATTTAGGCAGCAATCCTTCCTTTATGCATGTTTCATTAAAACGACAGACAAGGTACTACGGTTGAGCTTTTTATTTAATTTTTCTTGTGTTCTGACAAGAGCTTTCTTTTCTGGACAAAGAGTGTGTAAGAACTTTCCGAATGTTCTGTATTTCCGGCCTTTCGGCTATACCTTTAGCCATTATCAAGGATGATTCAATTATCAGCTTAGTAGAGTGTGTGTGTTCTGTGTATGTTCAGTGTGTGGTAGTGATGTTTTTAGTTTCCGAATACAGTTAGCACATTGTGGCTTTGTTCATAGTTAATATTGTTAAGAGTTGGCTTTTTCTTTTTTATTATTAGAGCTTCCATTATTTTTAGTCTTTTTTTGCAAGTGGATGCAGTTAATATATTTATGTTTTCTACTAGTATGTTCCTAATATATATGAACCTAAAGAGCCAGGTAAACCTACATGGTTCATCAAAATGGGCAAAGAGGTAAAGTGGTCATGGTTATTTTTATGTTGTAGGCTTATATTCTGTTCCAATTTTACCTCTTTGGCCAGTTTTACCCGGACAATCCGTGTATATGAAACCTAGGTAGGTTTACCTGGCTCTTTAGGTTCATATTTAGGTTTGCTCTACTTAGTGTATTGAGCACTTTACGTTGTTACTTTTGCTTTACTCGTTTTGGAGGTTTTTTCTTTGGACTCTGAGCTTGGATTCTGGACGATTGTTTTCGCCTCAATTACATGTTCATAGTTCTTTCTTTTTTTATCTCTTATTTTCCCTTGGGCATTGGTTTGTTCAATTACAAGCCAAAATACCTAAAGGTTTTTCCAAACAGTATAAATATTTATATTTATATTATTATATATATATATATATATATATATATATATATATATATATATATATATATATATATATAAACTTTTGGTGTATGAGACACAAGCAGATTTGGAGATTCATTTTTAGGTAAAAAAAAAGTGAGTCTCATATACCCAAAAATACAATAATCTGGTCTCAGGCCAGACAAGGATAAGTCAGTAAAGAAAAAAAATAATAGACTTAATTTAACAAGTTTAAAAGGCTTGTTATAATGTGCCTTGTAGCAGTTATAATATAAGTAATGCTTTGGCTACTTGCCATGACACCTGTATTAATTAGTCTGAAGACTAACTCCAAATGGCTTCTACCCTTACCTCTGACCTGGAGCTTTTTATTTATACCTATGGACTTATTCATATAGTCACTGGGTGGGAGAGGTTACTATTTACCTCTGGTAGTAATGTATTAATGAGAAATTCTTAAATATCTCAAGCACAAATTAGACAAAATAAAACTTGATTGCTGTTGTGACTAATCCTCTATTATGATATCATTCAGTTATTTTTGACAATTTAATCATTGAAAATTGCCTATTATGATTGTCATAATATCAAATTCTGAAGATAAGTATAAAAGTGAATATTGTATGCATATGAAACATTACCTTAAGAATATCTCCTCTTTGGACTAAATCAACATTTAGTACTTCTTCACTGATAATTTGTCCGTCTTTCATACAAACTAAAATGGCTTCAGATGCTTGCAATGATAAAAGCTTCGCAATCGCTTCTGATGTTTTACCCTGGAGGAAAAAAATTATAAATAACAATATTAGAAGTAATCCTTCCACAAAATATTTGACAGAAATGTCAAATATCAAAATGTCAAATATTTAAATGAAATGTCAAATGGTTAAGTCACAAAACCCTTGTCAGAAAATGTCAAATAATTAAATACCAAATATTTAAGCCACAAAATATTTGACAGAAAATAAAATATTTGAGAAAATAAAAAACATTTTTTTTCAAACACATTAACACTTTTTTTTGACCCTTTATCATCATAAAATACAATTTTTTTTTTCTAATTTTCTAACTCCTCTGGTATACTATTTAAATTAAAATAAAAACTTTCTTTTGAATTTACTTTTTATTATTTACATTCAGACCAATATCCTCATCTTTATTGTTATTATTAAAACATTTTGGCCACTTGTGCTCTCTGGTCTTATTGGGGTACTTATCAATCTAGATGTCTAGGGATGTCTCATCTTGGTCTGTTTTTAGTACTGCTCAATTATTGCTACTCCTGTTCCCACTGATTGTCTGTACTACACTGCCCTGGGATTAAACTCACAGTCAACAAAATGAGACATCCCTAGATATAGACAGTAGAATAATAAGAATCTACATTATTCAGACTATTGTCCTCATCTTTGTCACCATATGTATTACAACGTTTCTGCTGTTGTACATTCTGGCCTTCTTCAGGTGGTTGGAATCTGGAACTGAACACTATTTCGATCACTGGGGTAGACTGTTCTAGTTCCACATGCCATGTTTAATGGACGTCAGTTATCAGTTATCTCCTGTTAATTTCCCCTCTGAAAGTTCTCCACTGCCTTAACCGGGTATTTATTGAACTCACGCTCTTTGGGTCCTGTCACTGGATCTAACCAACGCCTTTATCCACTGTGCCATGTGTCCTTGAACATGGCACATGGAACTAGAACAGTCTACCCCAGTGAGCAAAATAAAGGGTTCAGTTCGACATTCCAACCACCTGAAGAAGGCCAGAGTGTACAACGGCCAAAACGTTGTAATAAATATGGCGACAAAGATGAGGACAATAGTCCAAATAATGTAAATAATGTACATAATACCTCATCTCAGAAATATAGACAGATACTGAATAACAATCTACCCCAGTAGATTAAATGAAGGGTTCAGTTGTAAATTCTCTGAAGGTTACTGTTGTGGTAAACCCTCCTATAGTAGAATGAACTCTTCCTCCTCTCATAAATACTAACTGAGGAGCAGTTGAGCGGGCACTAGGAGGCAGTGCTAACCTACCGTTCAGACATATACCTATATCTGCTTATTACTAACACTCTTGCTTTGTATATATCTGTTATTTCAATATACTTCTTCAACCTACCTTTGTTTTCTGTGTCTTTCTTTCTGGACCCTAAACAGACCACAACAACTAGGTGACAAGGATTCGTACTTCACGGGGAGTCTAAAAAATTTTCCATTGCCAGTGTCCACAACAGTGACCCAGCTCAACAGACACCTGAAGAAAGCCCAAGATCACAACGGCTGAAACCTCACAGGGTTTAGCATGCTGGCCTTCTTCACAAGCTGTAGGACTATGCCATCTCTGACCAAATATTTGACTTAATCTAATCTTTCTTAACAAATCATATAATGAGATTCATATTAAATGGTATCTCTTCTAGATCCATTAATGCAGTTGCCCCCATGGGGCTGTATCCTTGGACCTATATTTTTTCTTATCTTTATCAATTATTACCCCAATGTCATCATTTCCCAAATAAGTATTTAGATTGATGAGACACTATTAAAACAAGAGTAAATAGCTAAGTCCAACAGGTCTGATAAAGTAAAACTTCCAATCTGGCACAAGAAAAAGAAAATATTAATGCCTTCAGAGCAAGAAATGGCTTTTATATTTTAACACCTTCAGAATGGACCTGCTTTCTTTTAGTCATCATAGAGAACTTACCTTCCATCAGCATGGCTGATGCTAAACTTTAATTCAGCAACTAATTGTGCTTTCTTAAATTGTGGCGGACATGAGACAGAACCTGGGACGAGCACAACTGGTCGCGACTTGCCTTGTCCCCGCCAAAAAAGAGCCCGTATTTGCTTAGCATGTAAAACTACTGCAGTTGAAATGAGGGAGAGAAAAAAGCACTTACCGCTCTGCCGTAATCTATCCTCGGCCAGATAACGTAAAAGAATGAGGGGGGACTGGCATCGCATTTTTATGCAATTCCGAGTCAGGGAGTTCTTCGAGGGACGTTCACGGTTGACGGTAAGAACGGGCAGTCAGTGTGATTTGGAGACAGAACTCCAGAAGGAACGACTCAAGGTTGAAATACCAGTTGGGAGAGCTTGAATTTACTTGCTGGTTACTGTTTCCTTCATTTGCCTCATAAATGTATTTTTTTCTCTGACATAAAGTGGATTGATTATATTGAATCAAATTTAGGTCTGCTGCAAAGAAAGTTGGCTTACTGTGTTATGCAAGACTATTTTTCTTACCAGAATCCCTCTTGTATGTTTATAAATCTACAATTCATCTGTTGCTTTGAATATTACTGCCATATCTGGTCTAGTGCTCTTGCTATATGTCTCGCTAAAATCCAAAGAAAGTTCTGTAATGTTATCAGTCCTGATATCTCAACTTCAGTTACTTCCCCACTGCTGTGATATGGCTTTTCTATGCCTTTTCTAAAAATATTTTTAAGGCAAGTGTCCAAATGAGCTTTTCTTCTTTAAGCCTGGACAGTACAATGTAATATGGAAATAAAAAATAAAACTGAAAAGACAAAATGTCACTAAACACGTTAAAGATTTTATTTTTGTATTTTTTTTCTTTTCTTAGCTGCAGCAACTTATCATACTTTTAAGACTTACCTTGGCAATATGTTCCAGCCAACGTCCAAGAGATACAAATAAGACTAACATCGGCGTTGTTTCAAAGAACGTAACAGGACTAAATGGTTCCCTGAGGATGATTGCTGCTATAACAACTATTGTAGAATAGAGGAAGGAGATGCTGATGGCTAAGCAAACTAACACATCCATATTAGCAGCACCATGCTTGATGGCTTTAAAAGCCTGGACATAAAAGTAACGAGCTCCCATGAACTGAAATAGAAAGTAAAAAACATTTTTAAATTATTGAGTATAATTAGCCATTGTTATTATATAATAATTTAGGAGGGATAAAATGGGACAAACACTGCTTAGAGCTACAAATGATAAGTTATTATTATCCACGTCTTGCAGTGACATGGCACAGGAAAAGGGAGAGTAGTCTTATGGCAAAAGAAATGTGATTCCACAGAAGAACGCTGAGAATAACTGTTATAGAGTACGAAAAGTTTTTCTTCCTCCATATGAGAACAAATCCCTCGTCGCCAAAGTTGTTATAGAGTAGTTTCACAGTGGAGGCTTGTATTTTATTAAGTCAGTCCTAAAAAGGTTTGATGTACAAAACGTTAGGAACTTGATATAATAGTTAATGACACAGCAATCTAGTTGTGGTGGCTGATACTTTAATGTCTGACATCAACTGAGCGACTGGCGACTGCTACTACTCCTACTTATTATAGGTGGGAGAGTCTATTAACAATAGAATAGGTGTGTTCCAGTATAATAATAACAGAGACAGGCATCCTGGATATGACGATAAACTACATCTGGCAGCAAGGCCTTTGATCAGGAGGTTTTGAAAAGCATGGAATCATCTCTTAATTGCTGTTGTTCCCAGGTCCACCCTGACTCAGGATGGTAGTACCTGTTATGGTCCTAACCCAAAGAACTATGAAAGTATAAAAAATATAATGAAAATGTATTGATATTTTTACTATAAAAAGTAAAAATATCAATACATTTTCATTGCAAAAATATTACCAGCAACATATTTTTGTAAAAGAAATTACTAATTCACCCAAAGAAAATTAAATTTTGACATTAAATGACTCATGAGAAGTTGATATGCCATTAAACTAACAACAAACCATAGAGAGGACATGTGAATAATGAGAACTATTTACATTATTCAGACTATTGTCTTCATCTTTGCCACCATATTTATTACAACATTTCAGCCGTTGTATGCTCTGGCCTTCTTCAGGTGGTTGTAAATAATGTACATAAAACCTCATCTCAGAAATATAGACAGATACGGAGTAATGAGAAAGTTTTAAAATCAGAAAGAAACAATTTAAATTTTGGGACACATTGTGAGGAAAGAGGGCTGGGAAAATTTGACACCCACAATAAATAATGTGGAAAGAGGAAAACAGTAAGTAATCTATTTAACAAGATAATGTGAATGGTTGGCAGAACAGGAATTAAAAGCAATGGTAAAGTTCCAAATATTACTCAGAGCAACAAAAAACAGAAAGTTGTAAGAAGCTATGTTTGCCGACATTCTGAACAGACTTGACACATGAGAATTAGAAAATCAAAGAATTACAACAATTAAATGACAATACATAAAATGATGCATATGGATACAAAATACCACAAATGTGTAGCAAGAATCATTAACAAAAGTCTTGGTGTATGCGTATATAAAATAACAATTACAGTACAGAAAAATGTATGTGTATGTGTATTCAAATTTTGGTATCAATTATGTTTATAAAAAAATGTCACAGTAAGTGAGCGTTTGGACCAAGGGTCAGCCACACATGGCAGGTCAAGCAATTTCCTATGTCTCACAGCCATAAATGACATCACAAACTCCGAACCAATAACTACTACAATGCAATGAAGATATTTAGCTACTTCAATTTTAATATATACTAATGTATAAAATGAACAAAGTCTGACAATTATTTTAAGACATTTTTATGTTTAACATTCTTTTTATAGATACAAATATTTAAGTAAATGCTCTGTTTATAATAAACAGTATTAACAACATTTACCAGCCTAAATGTCCGAGAAATTTTCATAGAAAATATTCGTCCTCTGACATAAACAGAGCATTTACTTAAATAATTGTATCTATAAAAAGAATGTATAAACTTAAAAATGTCTTAAATAATTGTCGGACATTGTCCATTTCATAATGTGTGACATTATTTGTTTACATTTGGATACGCATTGAGCAGATATGAATGTCCATGAGAGAATCATGGAAGATTGTAGTTTAAAAACAGTAAAATCGACCTTGCTAACCAAACAATCCTCTGTGGCCCAATCAGTTAAGGCACATCAGGCTATATGACAGTTCCGTATAGGATACAGGTTCGATTCCTGTCAAAGGACGAATATTTTCTATGAAAATTTCTGGGACATTCAGGCCAGTAAATGTTGTTAATACTGTTTATTATAAACAGAGCATTTACTCAAATATTTGTATCTATAAAAAGAATGTATAAGCATAAAAATGTCTTAAAATACTAAAGTATATACTACTATATAAAATATATTGTAGAAAAGGTCTGTTGGCACACTGAATGATTTTAAAACCCTAAGTCAACACATAGTTAGCAAAAGGTTGCCAACCCCTACTCTAGACTAAGCTTTGTTCATCATTGTCCCAGAACGAGCCCAAATAACAATCTTAATCATCCTGACAAATTTAAAAACAGTCCCAAAATCAAAATGTTTTTTTTCTTTTAACTTATCATTTGCAGTTTTTATTAGCATAATATGATAAAAAAATAAATTTTTAAAAAATTAAAATATTGAAGTTTTAAGAATTAATTACATTAAATTTTATTATTTTTATAAAAATTACAAAGTAATAAAACATAGCATCAAAGGGAAGTTTTTTTCATTACACCACTTTTTTTTTTAAATACCTTCACGTTTCAGCAACATTTATTGTTTTAAAAAGTGATGATTAGAATTAGAATAAAACTTAAACATATGATGAAAGTGAATTTATACATTTTTTATTGTTCAAACAAAAATATTTATTTACAACATTCTAAAGACTAATACAATTTAAAACTAATGAAATACAATATTTGTCATTTACCAATTTATAAAGAATTAAATATGTAAACAATTTTTGTTCATAAATTTATAAACATTTACTAAATTATTAAAATATATGGACCAATGATAAAGAAATCTTTATTATTTACCATTTTGTAAAGTTTGAATTGATTAGCAATTAGCCAGTGTTTTGCCAGCCATTCTAATGAAATAATAAACAGTTGTCATACAGGAAGAAAATGAGCAACTACTGACACCGAGGTTCAAACATGACACTCTGGACATATGAATATATGTTTTCCACCAAGTGTATAAATAGCAGTGTCAGGCTACTGACTGTAGTGATTATTGAGTGACTATCGAGTGGAACTATCCAGTTGAATTAGTGTGAATAATTGTGCATCAAGGATTTGGGTTTTGATTTAGGATTTACTGGACGTTAAGCCGAGCCGTGCTACTAACAAGGTATTTATTGAAATGATTAATTATCTTTGGTTGACTTTTACTTCTTTGTTCTTGTTAAGTATTTATTTGCGGTTGTAATTAAATACTGTTTTATTTTAACATTGAAGTTCTGAGTTATACTTAATTATTAATGGCTACTGTACGTCACAAAAATAGTGTAACTAAACAATTTAAGTAAATAGCGTTCGTCATTTTTGTTGTCAATTCTCAAGATCAAAGAAAATGTATTAATTCACTTTCATTGCAGTGTGGAAAATAATTTGTTGCCTACAAGCATAAAGAAACACTTTTGTAAAGGCAGAGGATAGTGGAGATGCTTTTAGGCTCTATCAAAACTAGAAAATAAAGACTGGGAAGCTCCTGCGCATACATGGCAGCAGTACTCCATTTTCAGCCTGATCTGGCTCTTGTAAAGGCAAAGGATAGCAGCAAGAGTGAGGTACTTGCTAGATCAGTACAGACATCATAAGGTAACAATAATAGACAATAAAGTAATTAAACATTTACCTGAACAGCAGCAGCCAACAAAAACATAAGCAGATTTTCCAAAGATAAACCATTAATGATCATTATCGTGCCTTTTTGTGTGGAAAACTTTCTGGGAGGTTCTGTCGTGACATTTGTGGTTGAATTGGAGGGATGATATGGTGTATCATGATCAGGCATTGAGGCCATGAAGTAAATTGTAATAATCATTGCAGGAAGGCCAAATAGTAAAGACCAAAGGAATGAATTGCCACCTGAGAACAAAAAATGCATATGACAAAATAAAATCATTAAATTGTTTTTTTAAAATCAGCATTTACAAAATATATATATATATATATATATATATATATATATATATATATATATATATATATATAAAATATATATGTATATGTAATTGTTATATATATTATATATGCACAGTACTTATTGAAAACCACTGAATATCAGTGATAGAGCTAAGATATTTAATTGGATTGATGTGAGTTTGTGACCCTGGGTTTCATGCCCATGTAACCATCAGCTGTCTGACAATCACAAAGGCGTGAAACCCAGCATCACAAACTCACAACAATCCAACTATATATATATATATATATATATATATATATATGTGTGTGTGTGTGTGTCTATGTGTGTGCATATGCAGCAAATTCTCCTTTAGGCATGTCTGACTGAATAAATTACAAACATTACGTCTGCTTATTTTTATCATAATCCTTTCATATTCATGAATATTTCTTGCCTTATTTAATTTTAATAGTTTGTAATTTATTCAATCTGACACACACACATATGAAAAAATATATACCTTTAAGCTAAGCCATATAGTGCAGTAATAGATAGCAGCTCAGATTGAGGAATCAGAGTGTCGAGTTCGAATTCTAGTCAAATCCATTACATTCACTTACATGCTAATACTCTTGGGAAAGGTATGAATCCTCTTCTTCTCCCCCAAACTATGGGTAAATAGCAGAACAGACCAGGTTCTATAGCCTTGGATAGCAACTGGTCTACCACAGACAGAAATGGCAACCTACTGTGGGGGAAAAGAATCTGCCCCGTCAGTTATGTATCAAAAGATACATGATCGCCTAAGCATGTATCACACATGGCACATAACTGACTGAATATATTTATGGGTCCAACTGCTCAATATCAGGAATAGCATGATTATAAATAGAAAAGTGGACATTGAGTTCAACACCCAGTAGTGACACCATGTCACTGTTGTGTGTTGACCATATGGTGGAATAATGGATAGCAGTTCAAATTCTATTTGAGTTCATTAATTCATATGTAGTAATACCCTTCAAAAAGGTATGAATCCATCTGTTCTCCTCTCAGCTATGGATAAATAGAAGGGTAGACTGGGTTCTACAGCCTTTGGTGGAAACTAGTCTAGAAGGATATCTCTGTATTTAAAATCTGAGGAAGGTTGATTCTTCAATCCGAGCCACTATCCATTACTCCACCGCCTTAATCATGTATCCTGAAAATTCATGGATTTAGTTTTTGTCTGCATAATTGATTGAAGAGAGGACTGTATTTCTTTCATCTCCATTTCACTTACCTTATTTCTATTAGTCGGCTTAATAGTAGTAATATGATGTTGATTTTTACAAAACCAAGCATTGTCAACCATTATTTATTTTGACTTGCATATCTTATATCTTAATTTTAGTTGCCTATTATTGGAACTACAAATAATGACAAAGATGTTGAAGCATCATACTACTTCACACAAAAATTTAGGAAGAAAACCCCCATTAATTGTGGAAAGAAAAATAACAGTTACTGGACTTGGAAAACCTATTTTCCTGAAAAATTATTATAATAGAAAGAGTTCATAAAATTTAAGTGAGAGTAGCACTGGCTGTTCAAGTCAATGAATAATAAATGCTTCCTTATAAACATAGTATTAAAACGAGAGATGAGAAGAACTTTGATCTGAGCATGATGACCAGGGAATGAAAAAATTTTTAACTTAAGTAGCCCTGCATTAGTCAATGAATGCCAAATGTTTCCTGATAATGAACTGATCTCATTATTATTCAGATCATCAATCCACAGCAATTTCCTCTCTGACCATAGATTGACACTGGGCAGTTATGATAAAAAGCAACTGAAATTAAGATGAAAGAAATACTAATCAAAAATTAATAATGGTTGATAATGCTCCATCTAAAAAGGAAAACAAATTGATTATTTAAGGCAGCTATAGTGAAGAAAACGGCGACTTACTTTGTCAAACCAAGCAACAGCATGTCGCATGTATCCTATGACAGAATATGTGGCGAAAAAGAAAATTACTTACCAAAATAAAGGGCACATATTCCACATGACATGCTGAAGACGGAATATTTAGATCAGAAACAAGTCAGTCACAGGAGTCACTATAAAAGTATTTTGATATGCAAAAATTGGGTGTCCTCTCCCAGTTGTCAACAAATGGAAATGCTCGGCCGATAAAAGCAATTGGTGTTCTTGAATTGGGGAGAAAAAGAAATATTCATGTATTTTGGCTACTGCATTCATCGGAGAGCAAGTAATATTTCTGACTGGTTACATGCATTGTGATTTGTGAGATAGTACCTGCGAATCAAGTTTTCAGCATTTCTTTCTGCCCCCAATATTCAAATCTGAACTTACAGTGATTTATTCTCTGCTGGGTGGAAGTAATCTGCGATAAATATTTCCTTTGCAGTCCTAGAATGCTTACAGCTGCTTAACTTATTTTAGATTACAGCAGTATTTTAACTAGTATTATTAATTCATATTATTAGTCAACTGAAATGCAAAATAATTATAAAATCATTTACCTTCGGATTTCTTCTCTATGGTCATAACGAGCTGCTCTGTCATCACTTTCACTAAGTAAAGATGCCTGAAAACCAAGACCCTAAAAGGAAAAAAAAAATACAAAGATTTTCTAATTTGCTGATGCAGGAAAATTGTCAAATTGTAATGAGGTCACCATTTTTACCATTTCCAAGCAACAAAAAAAAGAAAAAGTTTTTAACCTCTTTCAATTTGAATTTTTGCACAAACAATTTTTTAATATAATTTTTTTTTTTAAATATATTAATGACTTCATGAGACCTTCAATAAATACTATGATTTTTTTTTTTTATTTAAAATTTTCACTGGAGTTTTATTTTACTTAACCACTTACCTATAAAAAATGTTATTGACATGTTCTTTAATTTCTCACCAATTTATTTATTTTTATATATTGAATTATATATATATACCTGAGAAAAAAACTTGTGTAATGTGTCCCAAAACCTTATTTTCAAGTTGGTGACTAATGCAAAAAATTTGGAAAGCTTTGGTGTAAAGGGTTAAATATAATAACTTTTGTTGTATTTCAAAATTCTATTTTTTTTTTGTTTTTATTTAAATGCAGAGAACGAAATAAAAATTATTGAGGAAAACTAAATTTAATTCAAAATCTCAGAATACTTTTCATGAGAATGACAACATCTAACATTCACTAACTCATCCCCAACTCACTAAATAAATAAGAAAATTACATATAATACTTGTAAAATTATCCGTAAACTATTTGGTTGTTTGATGATATAGATATAAATCTTTAGCCACAAAGAAAAGTAAATTCATTTATGTCGTATAATAAAGAAACTAAAACAGAAAATGAAAAACAAATATAGCTTTTTGGCATATCAACACCTATAGTACCAAGTATTTTGCTTAATAATTTAGAATATATGGCATTTAAAAGATTGTAGGGTTGGTGCATATTGTAGATGTGTTTGTTCATATGTAAACAATTAATGTAGAAGCAACAAAAACTTTGGTTTCTACTACAGACTGTTGATTCTTTTTTTTATTTTTTTTTATAGAAACCGTAGAGAAGCAAAGTTTTCAGTGTCTCTTTAATATGTCCATTATTGATAAGAATGGTTAAAATGGTTGCACTCAAGTCAGACTTGTGCAGAGTTTGAACGACCAAAGAAAAACTTATCTTACATCACCATTGGAGTGATAGTATAGTTAAAATGTTCAAGCTCAAGTTAGTCTTGCATCAAGTTAGAACAATCAAAGAAAAGGATAGATTTGTTTCATAGGTGGAGGTTTGGGAAGACACGTGAATGGCATGTGTTGTAAAAAGACAGTTCAGTTGTCAGTGGACCAGGTAAACAAACACCAAAGCAGTGGGAGGGGCATCTTTTTTCCATCTCCAGCTCTTGGAGTAAGGAGGAGAAAGAGAGTATAGCCGAAAGCACTCAGAATTACAGAAAATTTGGACAGTTTCTACACACTCTGTGTCCAGAAAAGAAAAGACTTGTTTGAACACAAGAAAAATTAAATAAAAAGCTTAATCACAGTACCTTTGTCTGTCATCTTTAATGAAACATGTATAAATGAAGGATTGTTGCTTATATATATATATATATATATATATATATATATATATATATGAAAAATTAACCCTTTAAAAAAAATTACTCAGATGGAATTTTTGGGGCCAGGTACATAAAATGATATTAGAAGTTAATATTGTTTAATAGAATGCTCCTTTAGTGTCTGTCGGGCTTGAGTGTTGAAAAATAAACCAAAAACAACAGCAAAAACAGAGTTCATTTTTTTTAATCATTTTACAATTTAACATTTTACAGTAAATATATATATATATATATATTCCCTTGTTCTTGTACTCCTTGTTTTAATATATTTATATCTATCAATATACAGACAAACCTCTCATCTACGGACTTCCCCTCCCCCATCAACAGACTTCGGATGCAACGGACAAAATCTGAAGGCAAAATTTAAAAAATCTGCAAGAAAAAAAACTTCCAAATCATCAGCAATGTATTTCAAAATTTGCAGGCTTAGCAGAACAACTCATATTAGTTCTCAAAGTGACCGCTTGGCAGCAGTGGTGGGCCTTTCAATTGTAAACAAAGACTGGTGTACAGTATATAAAGTATGATACATTACTGCATGTATGATTAATATATTTTTGTTATTTTATTAATATATCTATATTAAGTATATATTTATTTATGACCGTTGTTATTTTATATATACATGTTTATAATATTTACATTATAATTATAGAAACAACTTTGACAGGATTGAACCTGCAGTTACTATAGTCATTTTAAAACTCAAAAAAATAATAGACCCTTCCCATCTAAAGACAAAAGAACGAAAACTGAAGACAATCCGTCTTGTATCTATAAAATAACAACGTTTAAATAAACTTAAAAATAATAGTCCATTCAAAAAGTCATGCTTTATACAATCCGTCCCCCTATTAGTTTTTTTTAATAAAAAGTCTGTTTTTAAAGCTATAATAAATATTGATGATCTACAAGCAAGTTTACCAGGTTGAACAAAGAGCAATGAATCAAGCTACATTTGAAAAACAAGAACAATGATGTTTGACACATTTGTTTTTCATTAGTAATCTAAATTATTTTATAAAATAGCCGGCAAGTAATGAAATCCAATATTTATTAGTACTGGGCTTTTAAAATAACCCAATATGGCAACCAAGTTTATCCATACTGTGTAAACTAATGCTATAAGCACAAACTCAAATATCTAACCAAGAATGTAAAAAAAAAAGTAGGATATTTTTGGATTTGAAGAAGAAAGGGAAGAGAAAAAAATAAAAAGGTCTTTGCCTGTCAACTGAGAAAGCAAAATGTGAGAGACATGACCATATAAATGAAACATTTGAGACCATGCCAAACGACAAGAGGTGAAATATAAAATATTGAAGATATGAGAATAGACTTTCTTAGTTTATAGTAGTGCTGGGGTTTGTAAGGATATTATGAAAGGTGCTGGTGACTGGAAGAGACTTGCTGTCACTTGAGCTCCAGACCAAAGGTCTGGGGATCAAGTGACAGCAAGTGAAACATAATTGCATGAAACATAAAAAGAAAAAAAATGAATTATGCAGCACTTATTTTGATTGGCCACATTACTTAAAACTATTACTTCACTACTTATGCAAGAGCAAAAACTTTGTTGTTGTCAGATGGCACTTGGTATATAGTGTCAGATGGCACTGTTGATTATAGCTAATTTAAATAATGCACTATCATTTGCATGATGTGGCAATAATTGTAAGTAAAATGACACTAAATAAGTAACCAAGTAATCATTTCAAGTCCTCTAAATATCAGTAAGAAAAAAAAAATATATATTCACCTTGATAATGTCAATGATGTCACGAGTACCTGTCATTTCAGTGTCATAAACAAATTTGCCTTTGGATGTTGCTAAGGCAACACAAGCAGAAATGATGCCCTTCTTTTTCAACAATGTTGATTCGATGAGATGAACACAAGATGAACAGGTCATTCCGGAGATCTGAAAGAACAAAAGCAAGTCAATAGAGAACAATACTGGAAGAGTGGAGAATTGAAAGAATCAGCATACATGTTAAGCACTTGTAAACTACTCAGTAGACCTAGTATAGAAATCAATTACCATCTGAGAGTCTCTGATTAAGAAAGACACTGAAAATGATTTCAACCACCTGAGTAAGCTACACTCATTCACAGTTCTATCACCTGAGTACAGGTTAGCCTTAAACAGACTCCAGAATTTCAACAGTAGATTGTCCAAGTGACATATGGCTTAGTGAATTAAAATGTTGCTTAAAGTATATCTTCATTGAAAATTCAATCCCAGAGTCTGGTAGTGCTGAAAAATTACATATGTAAGAAATGGACAAGTGACACAAAATCTGGCCAATATTTACTAATCCAATATATTTAACTAAGCATGAAGCAGGAAAATAGCTTATATATATATATATATATATATATATATAAAATTATGAATTTTGACAGTCTGTAATTTGGTCAGATGAAAGTAAATTCTGCCAATATTTGAATTTGAGATAGGTTTATGTTTGGAGAAATCAGCATGAGACTTGAAACGCCGAATGTCTGCAGGCAACCATGAAATATGGAGGGTTTGGAGTAATGGTGTGGGCTCTGTCTGGTTTGGAGGGAAATCTGAGTGGATTCTTGTTGATGAGTGGTTTAATGGTCCAAAATACTGTCAAATATTAGAGAAAAGACTACTCCCACTATTTGAAATCAATCAGATTGAAAAGAATGTCTACCTTTTTCAAAAAGTTGAAGCGCCAAGTCATGCGAGTTAAGTAGCAAAGGCCTGGAAGGAATCACAAAAAATCAAGTCACTGCCATGGGTTGCCTAAAGTCCTGATATGAATCCAATAGAGCACACTTGGGAGCACCTTCACCGAAAACTTTGAGAGCGTGCAACCAAAATCACGTCAGTGGCAAGCTTTAAAGAAACATTGCTAAAGGAGTGGCAAAATATGGCTCAGTCGATTGTTGATAACTTGATCAAATCCATGAAAAATTGAATACAAGCAGTGAAACTAGCAAATGGAGGATGTGAGTGGATGGCAGAAAGAAGTGGGTAATGGGTCAAAAGTTACTTAGATCAACAAAAGACAGGAAGTTATAGAATATGACTGCCACATACTGATAGGACATAGTACTTAAATGAAGAAGAACAGGAGTGCAGGTAGTATTAACATTACACGATGTAGCATGCATCTTAAGGTTTGAAAACCTACCAGCCAAAACTAATGTGAAATAACTAATGTTGAAATTAAGCTAATTTTACTTACATTCAACTCTACCGTTGACTGTCCCATTGACTCTGAATCAAGAAGACTAGTACCAAACCCAAGATCTTGAATTTTATTTGCAATCTGTGATGGGAATATGTAAGAAGGATCATATTTGACTTCAGCCTTCTGAGCCATTAGTGCTACCAACACATGTTTGATACCTGAATTAAAGAAAACATACATGAATAACATTAATATTAAATTGAAAATATGAAAATTTGTCAAACATACAAAGAACATGTTTTAATATATGAGAAACATCTGAGAAAAATTTTTTTTTTTTTTTTTTTATTGAATCCTTTATTTAGGGTACACGACTAATTTCCACTATTTAAAATTAAAGTTATCAATTTCCGTGAATTCCTAAACAAAATGCAATGAGTTGGTGTTAATTTTTTTTAATTAAAAAATTAGATAAAAATTCATCTTTCCTGCAACTTTCATTTTTTTGTTGCAAATGAATAAAAATTCATTTAAATTGATCTTTCTTTGTAGAAAGCAAATAGATTTTTTTTTATTCTTTTTTGTTGCAAATGAATAAAAATTGGTGCTTTTTTTTTATTTACTTTTATGCATTTAAATCTGATCCAATAAAAATGCTTTGTAGAAAGAACAATAGATTTTTTTTTCATTTACTTTTATGCATTTAAATCTGATCCAATAAAAATGCTTTGTAGAAAGAACAATAGATTGCTTAGCTGGGTTTTTTTTTGTTTTGTTATGTTTTTTTTGTAAAAAAAAAAAAATCTCATTCAAAAGAAGCTGTTATTGATCAAAATTTAAGAAAATCAATAAATTAAATTCCGAGTTGAAATTAGTTCTGTCACCCCTTTATTCATCATCAGCAGTAGTCATAGGATCACTGCACAGCTGAGCAGTTCCTTCTACATGTCTTGGTTGAAAACCAGAGAAGTATTCATTAAATATTTGTTCACATAAAAATATAGTAGCAAGGGAGGTAAATCAGCATTTGGTAATAAATTAATACATGGTTACTCCCCTTATTCATTTTAATAACCATACAAATAAATTGAAGTGTCTGTCTTTTTACTTGCATTATTTACATTATTCGAACTGTTATCCATATCTTCATTTCCATATTCACAACGTTTCGCTCGTTGTACGCTGAGGCCTTCTTCAGGTGATTGAATTTTGAACCGAACCCTTTATTTCGTCCACTGGAGTAGATTGTTCTAGTCCGACGTGCCATGCCTCTTCCGGATGTCTCAGTTATTTCCCTTTAACACAACTCTCCATTTTTTTTGGTTCATTACTGCTGTGGCCTGGTATTGAACTCACAACTCTTTGGGTCTAGTTACTGGATCTAACCAACATCTTTATCCTCTGGTTCATGTGTCCTTGAGGAAGATGACGATAACAGTCCAAATAATGTAAATAATGTAAGTATCATAATACCTCATCTCAGAGATGGAGACAGATGTCCACCTTTTTATTTAGACAAAATTAGTTCTCAAGCAATGCTAGGTACATCTGCTAATTTTAAAATAAAATTAAACTAAGAAACATGTTTTATAGATTAGATTGATTTTTACTTTCAAAACTTTAGTGTAACTTTGCTTGACCATTATTTTTTTAAGATATAAATTGAAATCATCAAAGAAAATTCCCAAAATATCTGCAATATTTCACAATGACAAAATGGAAAACATTATAACGAGCCTGGATACGATACAAAATTAAAATATTATTCTGAATTGATATGCATTTGTCATTCATGGAAGAATCCTGCCTGGGCAGCAGAAAAAGAAATTAAAATCAAAATTTTGATGTCCTTAGTCTACAGCCTTGTTCAATGGATAAGCAAAGTTTTTTTTTTTTTTTTTGTAGTTTGTGGGAGGTAAAAAGTTAAGATAATCACAACACTTTTAGATGGTCTCAATTTTCAGAATTAACATTTGAGTTTTTAACCACAAACAAGGTGTTAATGCCACTAAGACACAAAGTGTTACTGGGTGTGGAATGGAAGGTGAAGAGAAGGGAAAATAGAAGAACAGGATTCAGGATAACAGAAAATGGTGAATGATGTTGCATTTAAAATTTTTGAAGATTATAGTTGGAAAGGAAGCAAGAAACTAGAAGAGAATTCCACGGGTAAGTGCAGGAAAATAAACTATTAGATTAGAACTCATGATTACATCTAGCTATTTCAACAGTAAAACGATGAGACCTAATAGCCAATCTAGTAATATGCCTAAATTTACAGAGTTGAGATACCAAGCTCATTAGAACAAATGACATGAAAATATTTATAGAAAAGACAGTAGAGAGCAACATCACAATGCAGGGAAAGTGACTGAAGTTGAGATGCCAGGTCAGGATCGATAGCATTACAGACCCTTCTTTGGATTTTGTCAAGAACCTTGAGCAGGAGTACTAGAACAGATATGACAACAATCTTCAATACATGGACAAATGATAGATTTATAAATGTGCAAGATGGATTCCAAAGAAAAAATTGTCTGGCATGACACAGTGAACCAACCTACATAACAGCAGATCTAGCAATTGATTCAATACAATTGTTTCACTTCATGTCAGTGGAAAACGTAAGATCAAGAAGGTGAAATGTTGCTCTCCTGAAGGTTAGCATCAGCCATGCTAATGAAGTGGGGGGGGAAAAGGATTCTCTATAATGATTAATGGATAGCAGTTTCATTTTGGAGATGTTAAAATTTACAGGCTATTTCTTACCCCAATTAACAACTGAGGGGAGTTCATTTTTGAGAGCAGCCACCAGTTTTGCTTTGTCTGACCGAAATAGTTGTGTCATCAGCATAAATGCCTACTTGGAAAATGATGTAGATAAGAAACTATATAGGTCCAAGAAGAGAGCTCTAAGGGACTTCCATATAAATGTGAAATTATCTAGAAACATGGCTGTTCAATACAACCCTAAAATGTGAAAATCTTGTTGAACAATGTTTTAAAAATATGAATGAACATTCTCAACATTTGGCTATTTTTTAACATTTTACCATAACCTCAGATAGAAAATATTTTGTGAATCTGTATAAGATGAAAGACTCAAGTGTGATTATAAATTAAGATAACTTTATTTATTAGAGGAACCTTAATAAGATGAAAGAAAAGATACAAATATAAAACTGGGACACAAAGTTTTGGTTTGGTCCACCAATTCCAAAGACCTTATAACAATCTTTTAGATATTTTACAGATATCAAATTAGCAATTACAAATCTACAAATTTAGAGAAAATAAGTGTAAAAGATTAAAAAATATGAATTCATAATTTCAAAAATCAGATATTAACATTTTACCATAACTCGTAATGGATCTGCATATTTGTGAACAAATTAAAGTTAGACAGTAGCAATATAGGGGTCAGAAGTTGGAAAAAAAAACACTGCCTCGTTATGAACTGTATACCATTAATACAAGCCAGTAATAAGACTATGAGAATGAAAGAATGAAAGAAATTTAAAAAAAAAAAAAAAAAAAAATGATAAAAAACTTACCATCCACCTTGGAGAGGTTTTTCTCGATGAGTGATACACAAGAAGCACATGTCATTCCAGTCACTTTGATGAAGCATTTTTCATACTCCTCTTCTTCTAATTGTTCATCATTTGTATTGAAATGAACCATCGTATTGCTGAGATCGATAGCAATATTATCTGTTGTAAGAGTTTTGGAGGGGCTGCCTTCCTCTAGAATATAAATAATATATATATATAGTTAAAATACATTTTTGTACAACTTATTTTGGTAATTTAATTAAGTTCTGACTGTAATCTTGGATGTGTGGGTGGTGTAATGGTTAATTGTTCAGAACAGTTGATCGAAAAACAATGTTCCAATTCCAGTTGCGTTCATTATATTCCCTTATGCACAAACATACCCTTGGGAAAGGTATAAATCAACCTCTTCCCCACCAGCTATGGGTTAATTAATAAGACTTGTATCACTAAATCATTATCTCTCCGCCTCTGCCAAATTCTTACAATCTAAAAATATTTTCCAAGTCATAGAAAACGAATCAATCAAGTTCTGAATTCAAGTATTGCACCATTTTTTTTAATTAACATTAAGCTTATAAGCATGACAAAAGTCCAGATGTTAAGCATGAAGTGAAGATGTTTTTAATGTCATTACCCCTTCAACTTATTGAAAATAACCAAAATTTCTATCTCACATTAGGCATATATTTTAAGCATGAAATAAGGTTGCAACTTGAAAATTCCCTAAGCATGATAAAATTCAGTTAAAATTACCTGACACTAAAATAATAACATTTAAAAATCTGCCCAAGCACATGTAATATCACCTTAAGATACCCTGCCAAAGAAAAAAAAAAACCTATTACTTCCCATTCAATTTAATGTGACCCACCTCAACATATAGAAAAATAACCAAAATTTCTATCTCTTATTACAGTTATATTTTAAGCATGAAGTTCAAACTTGAGAATTTGGTAAAACAGGCTCAGATAAAATTACTACTTCTATATGAATAAATGCAAAATTGGAGCTCAATTCTCCAATTAATTCTGAGGTTAAAAGGCCCCAACTGTACTTTACAGCAATTTACACACAGTATTTATGTCTCCCGACTAAGACATGTGACACAAGGTGGGGATCCAAGTGCAAATACCCAGGCAAGGAACAAAAATTGCCCACAGCCCCTGCAACTGTCAGTTGTGCTGACCTCAGTGCTAGCACTGATCACTCTCAGCTGTTCCCCAGGGCTGGGAACCTCTCAGCATAATTTTCCTCAGTTTCCACTCTGTCCTTTGACGAAGTAGCCCCTGAGTGCACTCTGCCCAAAGACAGAGACGCAACTGAGGGATGATAAATAGATGTTACAAACCCCTCAAGAGAGGAATTTACATGGTATTTACTTGACCCCCATTCCCCCCCCCCCTCACTGAGTCAAGTTGTGACACAAGGTCGGTTTTTAACGTGGGGACTTGAGTCTTCACTTAGGCCACTGGTTTTAGCTGGTCATAGCTTGTCTTCGCTGGTCATAGCTGTGATACTACCAGTGCATGGATGGATCTCTGTGACTAGTAAGTATCCAAATGTGTATACCCATCAAGAGAGGAATTTATACACTGTATTTACTCTGTAGCCCCACTAGTATGAGATGTGACACAAGGTCTATTTTTAGGTGGGGACTCGAGCGCATACACCCAGGACAGGAACAAAAATTCCCCTCAATCCCCACAAGCGTCAGTTGCGCTGGCCTTGGTGCGAGCACTGATCCCTCCCTCTGGTGCAATAGGAGGGTGCAGTCTCAGGCAGCTGTTCCCCAGGGCTGGGCACCTCTCAGCATTATTTTTTCTCAGTTGCTCCTCTGTCCTTTGACAGAGAATCCCCTGAGCTCACCCTGTCCAAGGACAGAGATACAAGAGATAGATAAGTAGATGTGTACCTACTCAAAAAGAGGAATTTACATGGTATTTACACAAGGTCATTTTTTAATGTGGGGACCTGAGTGTCTTCACTTGGGCCACTGGTCTTAACTGGTCATAGCGTAGGGACGGATCCCTGTAACCGGTAATTATCCAAATGTGTACACCCCTCCAAAGAGGAATTTACACACTAAAAGCTCAATCTCTGAGTTATATATTATGTATTTCTAGACAACATCACTTTTCAGGTTTAACTAATTTGCATATTGATTTTAAAAAACTATATTTCATTAATTAACTGTCCTTCATTTCTGTTCTTTTATTCAAGGATTGTTTTGATTTTCATATCAAAAATAGTTCTGTTCAGGAATATCATCTTATATAGTGCAGAAAAGTGTTTGAAATTTGCATTTTACTTGGCAAGTTGGTATCTATTTGTAAAACTTTAATTAACTATAACAAGCCCCCCCCCCACACCCAACCAATTAATTTTTTGTCTGTACAGTCGTATTCTTTGAAGTCCACAACCCCTTCAACATTTCATAAATAGTGAACATTAATCCCATAGAAGAACAACTAATTTTTTTCCTAGAAAAATTACAGATAGCAAGCAGGCAAAGCCTGTTAGTTAGGCATATAAATGAGGGAAGAAAAATAATAAAGTGTATCTCACTTTTGAGAGACGACTACTTTTTTTTTTTCAACATTCATAAAGAGTGTGTTGCATTGATCTTTCAGAAACAGCTTAGATATTACTCATCAAAAAATCTAAAGGGACCAAAGGATTTCATTTTAAAACCTTGTAAATTCTCAGACTAAGATTTAAAAAAAAAAAAAAAAAAAAAAAAAAAAAAAAAGCATACATATCTAACGCCAATGGAATCTTTAATAGTTTTCACATATTAGATACAAGACAAAATACAAAATAAAACAAATACCATAAAGTCACAACTTACTGAACTAATACTGAAAAAAAAGAGGATTGTTTATTAATGGTAATAGTCCATGAAATCCGAATGTAACTGAAGAGGCTAACAGTTTCCATTTTTTTAATATTTGTAAAATATCTTTAATATTACACATACAATTGAATTATAATAAAGAATATATAATATTTACTCACTTTTGTTCTGACAGCATAATTCTATGACACTGGAGCTTTGTTGATTGAGTCCAATCTGGACCTTGTTAAAAGGTTTGTTAAATTGAAAATCCATTGAAGCTTAAAGGTTTACTGTATATTCAAGATACATTTCTATAACGAAATATGCAGTAACGTTTGACATGTCTGTTTTATGTTTATGAAAGGAAAGTTTAATATTGCTTTAAAATTCATTTTACACCACATCCTGCAGCTATTCTTTAGATTAGATTGTTAACTGAACTAAAAGAGATTCTTCTAGAAGCTGAACATTTTTCTTGTCAAAACTTGTACTGCACAAGAAAAATCGAGCTTGTCTAGAGTAATAAATCAAAATTGCCCAAAAGCTTGACATAATGTAAAATAGCATACACATATATATATATATATATATATATATATATATATATATATATATATATATATATATATATATTATTTTCAGATAGAGTGTACCTGCAAAGGAACAAAATGAATAAAAAGACAAGGAAAAACCATTCATAATTGATGCGTTTTGTCCTCTGTGGGACTTCATCAAGGCAAATATAAGGATTTATTTTGTTGCATGTGTTTATATACAAAAACAAGGATGTAATTGATTTATCAAGACTTAAGTTTGAGGACATTCATGAATATTCATCTGGTGGCTCAAAGTTCAGTTAAAACAAAGATTTTACAATAAAACTTTGTTTTTATTAAATTTTAAGCATTTTTTTATTATATATGCTCATTTTTAGTGAATCTTTGTGTGTATATATATATATATATATATATATATATATATATATATATATATATATATAAAATTGATAGATTTATAATTAATCCAAGCATTGTTATTAGTGGATACCCAGGTTTGAAATAGATACCTTTTTTTTAAGCATGTCCTGCACACTCCACTATTGAAATACTGATAAAAAAAAATGTCAGTGTACACATTAAGATTTCTTGAGTACACAGTCTAAAATAGAAATGGGATGGGGTGTTTATTTCAAATACAGGTATTCACTAAAAAAATTATTTGAAATTTTATATATATATATATATATATATATATATATATATATATATATATATATATATAAAAAACAAAAAAAAACAAAAAAACAAACAAAAAATCTTAATATGCAATTATGCTGTATTAATGTTAATATAAAGTTGACGTCGGACGTTCATGGACATTCTATTTAACCATCTTCATTGAAAATTTTCCATGAAGATAATTCTTAATTAGAAAATGTCCATGTTGATTATATTAACATTAATACAGTATAAATGCATATTAAGATTTTTGTTTGTTTTTTCTGTATTTTTCTTCATACTGTCGGATCTATATCCATATATTTGCTTACATATATATATATATATATACACACACACACAGAAAAACAGGTAGGTAGGTAGAAAAAGGAAAATGAACTGAACAAATAAGAAACTTTTTTTTGTATTCACACATTCTTGTAGTAGTAAAAAATATTTTCAAAACATGGCTAAACATATTTGAGTACTTTCAGAAATTTGTGGTCCCAAGAAGAATGTGCTGAAGGAACACTTCTGCATTAACTAAAACCATTACATTATTTTAATTAAAAACCATTAAATTATTTTAATTAAAAATCCATAACAATTCTAAGCAAACGGGAATTTAACAAGAATGACAGGAATTTAACAAGAATGACAGACATTTTCATAGGAATAAATTTTATACTAAGCTTTCATTTATTTTCAACTTTAAAATAATTTCACTTCTGTCATTCTCATAAATTACCCCATTAACGGCCACCGTCTCATTTTTTGGATAGTGGGTATTAATAGAAAGTTAGAAACCCACAACACCAGATTTTTAGAAAAATTTAATTATGGAATTATTTGGGGGGTAAATTTGTAATTAATTCTGGATTTTGTTTTAATTAATTTCAGACAGATTCAAAATTGTTACATTTACTATCATCAAATTTTATTAAAATTCATAGGCTTTATTTTTAATTTTAAAAATATTCATTTTTTTTTTTTTTTTTTACTCTTAAATTAAAAACTGATGCATTTAATATTGCATAAACATGTCATGTAAATACATTCTGGTGAATGAACGAATTACGGCTGCGTAGCATTTTACTAAGACAGTGCTTTAATAATTTTCCCTTAAATAGATGATT